ACAGATGCTTGACCAACAGTGACCATCAGCTTGGTGTGTCAGGGCCCCAAGAACTGCTAACCAAAACAGAGTAGTAAGTTTAGCGCCAGAAGCTACAACACAGCCTGATGAGCTGAGATGAGATGAGATAAGATAAGATAAGATAAGATAATCTGCAACAATAAGAAACAAAGCTGAGTTCATTCATGTAGAGACAAATTGTGAAAGAAATCGCCCTGAGCCTCTCAGCATGTTTCAAATCCCTCTTTTGAATAATTCCACTTTGACCTTAAGCATCTGCCACACACCTATCTGTCTCTTCATCTGATTGGTTCTGTGTGGCCAACGCCCATCTGGCGACACTGAATCCTAAGAAGTGCAGCCTGTGCTAATATTATCTGACCTAGCTCTGATGTTGTTGTACCAAGGGCAGTGGATCACCTGAGGCCTCTCCAGGTCTCTCTACTGTCTCATATATCAGCCGCACATTCTGCCACGTCAGCAGCGAGTCTGTTTATTACTGTTACAGACATCAGCAGGAACAAAGACACAGTGGCCCAGTTTCTAATGCTGTGACCTAGCATGACCTGCCAGGAATTTCATAAGTGGGAGCAATCAAAGTGTTTTATTAACTTTGACCTTGATTGACCTTTAATAACTGTCCAGTAACCGAACTTATAGATGTTGAGAAAAAGCGAACAATCAACTTTTGTTGATTCGAACAAGAGTGGATATGAAAACGTAATCCTTCTGATAGCACTGTGATGTGTCCACAGTTTACCCCACATCATACCGAAGCTGGGAAAGACTCCAGTTCCCCATGACCTTGAACAGGATGAACAGTTTAGAAAATGGAGGAATGGATAGGTGGAGTATAAAATATATTTATTATGAAAATTATTTTTCAGTTCAAATATTTATTCATCTGAATTATCTGATATCGATTCATAAAATACTGAGATCGATCTTTTAAAGGAATATTTCACCCGCAAAATGACCATTTGTATTGTATAACAGTTGCTTGATTACTGAAATTCCTTGTAGTTTTTCTCTCATGCCTTCACAGTGGACAAAGAATCCAAAAAGGCACTAGGTTGAGGCTGTTTCTGACACACCAAACAACAACTCAACTTGTAAAATATCCCCACTTTGTCAGTGGATCCAGAGGCACCCTTAGGGGCTGTATAATGCGCTCCAGGTGGTGGCAGTTTGTGACGCTGCCGACAGCTACCTCAGTGGAGCGACAAAGTCTGGGAGGTAGGGAGGTGGATGGCTCAAATAAGCTCCAGACTTTAACCTGGGTGCCAGTTGTTTGTTTCCCTTGTAAAACTAAAAGTCAATGGAGTTATTTCAGTAACGCTAGTGACGTATGTCACATGACATATGACACATGGTGGGGTTTTTTCTTTAAATCTGAGCGGGGACTTTTGTTGCGTAAACTTAAGAAAATAAATGTTTGTACATGCAAAACTATGTCAAAATAACTGTTAGCAAACTCTCACAAAACCTCTGCAGTAAATTATTATTATTACGATTATTTATCCAGTTGTATGCTCAGTACTTCCTAACATTTGTATCCACTAAAATATTATGGTTTAAAACATGTCAGGACAAACGTATTCGATTTACCTTAACTCATCTTTTAACCTTACTGTTTTCCAAGTAAAGTTTGCTTCATTTTAAGAATCCCCTGCCTCGTATCCAGTATCGTCCAGAATTATTATCACTTTATTTTAAAGGAGCAATAAGCGAAATTCATCATTTCTAGATTGAAGGAATTAAAAAATTGCTATGTGAAGAACTAGAGGTGTAATTTTATCTGGAGTATAGCATGACCTCACACACCCTCTCTCTGTGTTGATCTCCAGCCCATTGTTTACAAGCTGGTCCGGCTGCGCGTTCATGTACGTTCATGTGAATCCCCCCCCAACGCTAACGTTCCTCCTCTTCTCCGTGAGTGAGAGCGATGTTTTAGCCTAGCAGGCAGCCCGCGAGCCTGGCGGGCAGCCTGGTGGGCTGCTCAAGCTCCGGACATTAACCCATCCCGGTGTTTCCTCCAAGGCTATTCAAGAGAAGGCTGAGACACGGGGTCAAACATGGGGGGATTGCACATGCGCAGTGTAACTTGAGCTGCGATGCTGGAGGGTGACAGCAGGGGCGCTAGATAAAAAGCGCAGGATCCGCTCAGGCGATCAAGGAGTGCGCTTGGTGCGGTCTGCTTGGACTTTTGGACAGCGGCTGCCTGAAGTTGTCGGAATTGCATCTCTGTCATTCTCACCCACAACGCAGGCCACCAGTGACAGTCCAGTGATAAGCTGTGAAAATGACATGCATGCACATCCCCCTTATTCCGCGGTCTCACGCCATCTATTGAGCCTTTGAGGAAGTGCAGACCAGATTTTACTGCACACGTGCAATCCCCCCATGTTTGACCACGTGTCTCAGCCTTCTCTTGAATAGCCTTGAGCGGAGCAGACTCCAGTCATTCGGGCTTTCATAGTCGAGCGCACTTCCGCGTTGTAGTTTCCTGTAAAAATGTCCGTGAAAAATCCCCGCGATGTGAAAAATACATGCCAAGCAGTCACTGGTGCGCGGTCGTAAAATCTGAGCTTTGCGCGCACAGGGCTTGCGGACGTCCGCTTTGAGTCCGCGCGGACCTCTGCAGAGTCCGTTCCGCGTACATTGCGCCCAAGTATGTTCGGGCCTTGACAGACACACATCACATGTGTGGAGATACTTCACTTTCCTCCGCCGTGTCAATGTGATGACGTCATCAAATGACGTGTTGACTCAACTTCGACTTTACTGACAGATAAGTCGACCTGAAAAAAATCAAAGTCGTTAATGCCCTAGTTCAAATCCCTCTCAGCCAACCACAAACAGCCACAGCATCAGATAGGGAGTATATATTCAGCATCTGTCATCTTAGAAAAGTCAGAAGAAAAGAAACAGAGTGAGACTGCGAGAGAGAAAGAGAGAGCGCGCGCGCACACGAGAGAAACGCAACATTGGCTACGGTTACATGATGGCTTCTCATTCGGAATGAAATAAATCTGAATGAAATCATTCGGAATTAAAGTCTTTCCAGGTAGTTTACATGGGAAATATTCATTCCGAATGAGGGTTTACACGGGAGATCAGTTCAATCGCCTTTATTCAGGTCTGTGCAAGGTTTGGGGCAGGGAACGTTTCTGATTGGATAGGGGGCGGGGAGGATGTTATGTGTTTACGTTTACCGGAAGAAAACACTGTAGTCCTCGCTCCGGATAACAAGATGCTTGACGACGCCGTTCTTAGTGCCTTTTTCAGGCTTGTTTTGCTTATATCCTTCAAGCAGCAGTACGACAACAACCTTGTTCTGCTAATGCTTCATCTGTTGAGGAGGAGAAGGGAGGTAGAAGGTCAAAGAAGGGAGATAGAAGACCGTGCTGTGGCGAATGGAAACCGGTGAGTGCAACAAGTCCGACTGCTCTATCTCAGCCCGTTGCTATGCAGCCCGTTGCTATGCGCGCTATATACGTCATCGCGCCAGAATGGCAAGGAAACGAGCATGCGCAGAAAGACCGGAATGAACTTAAAGAGGAATGAGTGTATACATGCACACAAAATTCTTTCATTCGGAATGATGAACGGAATAAACCACCCCCTTTAATCGGATTTAATCTTCAATCGGAATGACCGTTTTTCAATCGGAATGACCGTTTACATGATCACTTTTAATCGGAATGGCCTTTCATTCCGATTAAAAGTGGAATTAAACTGTCCATGTAAACGTACTGACTGATTTACAATTGTGGTGACCTCCTCCCAGGCTACCTTTGCATCATCAGCCCGTGGAGGTCTGCTCGCAGTTCTGTATATTCAGACACTGTAAGCTTGGACCTCCCGGACCAAAACATCAGTTTCCTCCTGGGAGAAGTTTGGCCGTCTGACGCTGCTGCTCTCTTCTGCCATGGCGAATTGAGTAAACTCTCATTACGCCTTCACGCGGCGCATTTAAGGGCGAGGAGAGGGGCTCATTTGATTGGTGTGATGTGTGTAAAACCCACTCCACGCCTTCTCTCCTCCCTCTTTCCGATTTGTGCAGGTAGGAGAGACGGAGGTGGGAAAGAGGAGTAGCTGCGCCAGGCGCACGGTGTGCCAAACTTACAAAATCCGCCTGGCCACACCCAGCTGGCGAAGCACAAGTGCGCTGCGCCTCCGCCTCGCCCAGTCTGTGAAACTAGAGGCCAGTCAGTGACGTTACTTTGATTAATGTGAAATGAGCTGACTCATAAAATGCCACAAACTCATCATCATTTCCTACATAAATGCATCTCACAGAGGCTCCGCAAGGGTCGGGCGTTCTGGTCGTCATGATGTCAGTGACGGCTCACCCTGATTTCATTACTGAGATGAATCAATCGCATTATAGAGGCCGGCTCGGACACAGGAGCGGGCGAAGGGCTTCAGTGCTGAACTTCATCTGCATTTAGCTGATTATGTTTGAGAAAGAAAAACACAGTCATAAAAACAATTGATCACAGAGATGCCTAGACTAAGTGTGTCTATAGACAACTTTTCAGGTTTTATTTTAAATAGGTTTGTAATAGTTTTTCAGTTGTTTATTTAACTGTTTTTTTTATGAGAAATACTCTGATGTTTACATGAATTACATAGCCCACAGTGCCTCTGTAGTCACAGTCATAGTGACTTCAGTATAAATTTGATGAGTAATATGTGTGACTGCATGTGAGGTGTGTTTGTGTAGCCTGTGCATGAGCTCACTGTTTGATACCTGATATTATTGTTTATGCCGTCAGCATTACAGGTATATTGCATCTGTATATTGGTTGCAATCATTAGAAATCTCATTATGAGCTCGGATTTCATATTTATTATGTCTTCTCTCTGTGTCCTCTTCCTCCTCCCTTACTTTTATCTCCACATCTATCTCCATTTCCTGTGACCTCTCTCCATTCCTCTTCTTCTCCTCTTCTTCCTGCATTTTCTCCTCCTCCTCTCCCCCTTCTGTCTCACAGCAGGGAAATCAGGTAACAGGTTATCTCCTGTTCTCTCTGGGCACCGCCGTCATCGGCTCTCTGCAATTTGGTTACAACACAGGAGTCATCAATGCTCCGGAGCAGGTTGGTAATTAGCTTGTAACATCAGAGTTTGTTTGTTTGTTGCAAAGATGTGAGACTCCCTGTCTGAAGCTGCACCAAGTTTGTACCTTAAGCTTCTCAAGATGTGAACAACAGGTCATTTTAAAGGTGAATATCAAACCAAAGAGATACAAGAGGAATGGTGGTGAGTCGGCAGAGTCTCTGAATTTGTTGATGCTCGCTACTTGTATCCCTAATTCCCTGTTTGTGGTGAAGCAGCTGTGATTACACCAGAATTTGGTTAGTGCCATCTACAGGGTCTCAATTAGTTCTGATAGGAGAGTTGTCTCTGTTGCATGGCTGCAGATATGATTTAAGCATGAAAATCATAACACTGTGTAGCTTTATATTGGATTATTTGAGTACAGATACAGATATTTATTTATTTATTTTTTGCTCGTAATGTGACAGACAGTATTCATTTATGATTACAATTGTTTCTGAGCAAAAATAACCTCCCATAATACATAATACATATAAACCTAAAATTTTATTCAGAAATTCTATTTATTCATGAATACTTAAAGAAAAAAACATTTATTGGAAAAGTCAATCAACAAAATGTGGGACACATGGCAATTAAAATGGAAGAATCAATATGGAGCAGAGAGAACAAAAAATAATTTGCCAATCTGTTAACAATCTATCAGTGGTAAATCTTAATTTGACAAGCAGATTCTATATTTGTAACTGTGTGGGACTGCTGATTAGGCAGTTAAATAAAGTGACAGACTTCTAGTAAAAAGATACAGGTATGGATTACTTTATATTAACATTAAGACTGGAAGGAGGGGGAAAAAGCTAGCCTAGCTACACCGACACCTCCAAAGTCCAAATTTGTGGTTGCAAAGAGGAAAACATGCTGTAACTTTCTTAGGGTTACTCTGTTTGTGTCAAAGGTGGGGTCAGAACATGGATGTATTATGAGACCTGGATACAGCATTGAAGGCTTTCATTCCTGTGAAAGTTGCCCAGTGGTGCATGAAGCCAAAAAAGCTCTGTTTCCACAGTATGAAATCACCCGGATGATCTTCTAGACTAGTCCAAAATGAATTACATCCTGATAGTGAAACGACTCATTTCGCTGGGGATGTGATGCTCCAAAACATTTATCCACAGATTTACAGATGTCTCTTACCCAATGTATATCAATGGAAATATCTTTATGGGCCCAATGGCATCACATGATGGACCATGGAAATTGCACTACCACTGTTTGGCCCATGAAAATTGGCTTTAAAGCTTGGCTCACTTCCTGGGAGCCTGGGTCAGACTGAGACTCGAGTCAGACTCAAGTCAGCCTTGAGCTGCAAATGTTAAGACTGCTTGACTAACAAGGATAAAAGACTCGACTTGACTTTGACTTGGCATTTAAGACTTGAGATTTGACTTTAACTTGAGACAGATGGCTCAAAAGGATTGACTTTTTTTTATTTCATATTTGCATTTTCAGGATATTGAAAGTTACATTTTGTTTTTGAAGCACGATTTTGTTGATTTCTAGCACGCAAACCTGGCAACCTTCTACAACACAACAGGTCAGCAGAGGCCAGCGCATGAGGCAGATATCATTAAAAGGCTAATCCTAAAGTAATACAATTTGAATTCAAGGATTCTTGCAAAGCAGTGTGCAAGGTCTGCAGCTCTCAGGTCAGTACAAGACCCCCACAGCATCCACCTTCATTCCTTATTACGAATCCTTCAAAGAATGGCATGTGAGTGTGTCTTTTTAGCAAACAAATTAGATTATTTTCTGGTCTAGCATTAGCTGGAAGGCTTAGATTAGACCAGATCCTCAGAAGTTCATTTGACATGACTTCTGACTTGCTTGATCTGAGCAATAACTTGTCTTGCTTGACTTATAACAGGGACTTGACTTGCCTTGCTTGATTCTCACCACAGTGACTTGGGACTTTCTTGAGACCTGAAGGTTAAGACTTGAGATTTGCTTGGGACTTGCACAAGTGTAACTTAGGCTACTCCCACCTCTGGTTTGTGTCAGATTCAACAAACATTTTGTGTGTATTGGTAGGCACATTATGGAACTCTGGATAGAGCCAGGCCAGCTGTTTCCCCCTGCTTTTATGCTAAGCTAAGGTAGGGGGTGGTGCAAAAAGGGGGAGGCATAATAATATTTTTTGAGCACTTGGGAGGGGCTTATGTTCTTTATTTTGGCTAAGGTGAGAGGCATACAAATTTAAATGGTTCTATTTTGTGGTTATTTTAACACAGATCTTTGACAAAAACATGACTTCCAAACCTGCAAACAAAATTACATCATTTATCATAGCCAGAAAGTTTAAAAACAGAAACTATTGTGGGATTTTTACATTTCTGACGGTCCTTGGACACATCATGTGCAACAAATGTTTCCATCAGATGAAAAAACATGGCCATATCTGAGCTTAAAATGGTGATATTTCATTAAAATCCCTTTATTCTATGTTTTATTTCAAATCTGGCCAAAAATAAACCACACAAACTATCCAGCATGCACGTCATGAGGTAAAAAAGAAAAGAAAACTCTAGGATTTAGTCTTTAACTTTTAACTTTAACCTTCAAACATCAAAGGATACGTTTTTAAAATCTAACAACTCATTTATTTGAAAAAAACAAACAAAAACAAAGTCACACTCGAGCCACCCCCCTCCTCTGCTCCTCTGATAAGTAAAGAACAGTCCCTAAGCTAACTGTATCTGATGCTGGCTCAGTACTTAATGCAAACATGAGAGTGGTATCAAGCTTCTCATCAGGCTCTCAGAAAAAAAGCAAATAAAACTCTAAAAACTTTTCCTTCAACTGACCAATACTGAAAATATTCAGCTATTATCAGTGCATTTCTGTCTTTAAATACAGTCAAGATTTATCTATTAATTCATCTGTTCCTGCCATCAGAAACTACGATCATTCTTCAACGATACCTGGGTCGAGCGTTATGGAGAGCCAATCTCTGCGGGGGTATGTACCATGGTCTGGAGTGTTGCTGTCGCCATCTTCAGTGTGGGCGGCATGGTTGGCTCCTTCAGCGTAGGCGTCATGGCAAACCGATTTGGCAGGTAGGAGTTAAATTTGTACCATACTGCCAGCTGGGATCTAAACTTTTGTAATGAAAAGCTAAACCTGTTCCCCAGTCAATCAATCAGTCAATCAATTTTATTTATAAAGTCCAATATCACAAATCACAATTTGCCTCACAGGGCTTTACAGCATACGACATCCCTCTGTCCTTAGGAGCCTCACAGCGGAGAAGGAAAAACTCCCCCAAAAAAAACCCCTTAAACAGGGAAAAAAACGGTAGAAACCTCAGGAAGAGCAACTGAGGAGGGATCCCTATTCCAGGACGGACAGACGAACAATAGATGTCGTACAGAACAGATCAACATGATAAATTAACAGTAATCTGTATGACACAATGAGATGGAGAGAGAGAGAGAGAGAGAGAGAGATATGCAGGACAGACGGTAATGACAGTAGCTTACAACAACATTAATGAAAGTAATAATATTATAGTTATAGTTCTGGCTCCTGTGGTACAATATGTTAAAAGTATTAATATCTGATAGTGTACATATGTGACAATAACCATATGTGTATAATAACAGTAGAAGTGTGACTAATGATAACAGCAGCAGCAGGAGGCATCTGGCAGGACCACGGCAGCAGCACAACCACACACGTCACACTATCCAGGCACCGCTGCAATATGAGTTAATCTGAGAGACAGTGGAGCACAAAGGCTCTGGAGAAGAAGCCAAGTTAGTGACATGCAGTACGGCCGAGTTAGCAACATGCAGTAACAGGACATGAGAGAGATAGAGAGAGAGAGAAGGTGCCCAGTGTATTATAGGGGGGTCCTCCGGCAGACTAGGCCTAAGTCAGCCTAACTAGGGGCTGGTACAGGGCAAGCCTGAGCCAGCCCTAACTATAAGCTTTATCAAAGAGGAAAGTCTTAAGTCTAGTCTTAAATGTGGAGATGGTGTCTGCCTCCCGGACCGTAACAGGAAGATGATTCCACAGGAGAGGAGCCTGATAGCTGAAGGCTCTAGCTCCTGATCTACTTTTGGAGACTTTAGGGACCACGAGTAACCCTGCGTTCTCAGAGCGCAGTGTTCTGGTGGGATAATATGGCACTCTGAGCTCACTAAGATATGATGGAGCTTGACCATTTAGAGCTTTATAAGTTAACAGTAGGATTTTAAATTCAGTTCTGGATTTTACAGGGAGCCAGTGCAGAGAAGCTAAAACAGGAGAAATATGATCTTGTTTCTTAGTTCCTGTTAGTACACGTGCTGCTGCATTCTGAATTAGCTGGAGAGTTTTTAAAGACTTACTAGAGCTACCTGACAAAAGGGAGTTACAGTAATGCAGCCTAAAGGTAACAAAAGCATGGACCAATTTTTCTGCATCTTTTCGGGTCAGGATAGGCCTAATTTTCGCAATATTACGCAGATGAAAAAATGCAGTCCGTGAGGTTTGTTTTAAATGAGAATTGTTTATCAGGTTTTTTTGTTTGTTTGTTTGTTTGTTTGACATATTCAATGTCAGTTCCAAGTATTGCTTTGCTTTGGGTCTTTGTTTCTTCTTTAATGGAAAATGTATTTTCTGTGTGATTCAGCTGAACTGTCTCAAGCCATTACCCCTAATGGAGCTTATGAAGCGTGTCTGTCTTGAGCCCACTGCCTGGCTCTAATGTTCCCCGGAGTTGTTCCTTCATTTCTCCATTTGCCTCTGTGTTTTGCCCCGAGCATCAAACCACAGTCCTTTTTTTCCTTTTCAGTTGTTTTGACCAATTCCATGAACGGGTTTTCCACACAGAGTTAAAGTAATTTGGAGTCGAAATACATTTTGCTTTTTTGCATTATGAGATTGTCAAAGAATTCACTGTATAAAAGGATTTGAAAGGAAGACTTCAGTCGTCTATATGGAGAAAACACACTTGTCTATGATTAGCTTAGCTTATCATAAAGACTGAAAGCCACAGGAAATGACTAGCCCGGCTCTGTCGAAATTTCCAACAACAAATTTTATTTCTTTTTCTCATTTCTGTTTGTGTCAGACTAAACAAAAAGGACACAGTCTGTTCATAAGTTGATGCTTTGTATTTTAAAGTCTGAAATCTAATTTGAAAAAAGGTTTTGCATGTATGAAACTAAGTTTTGAAGGCTTGATAGACAGAAAAAAAAATTATAACCTTTCAAATTTGTCACTAATCTCCTGAGGCCTGTACTACGGAGCCAGTTCAGCTTACCCAGGATATCTTCTTGCTATCTGGTTTGACTAACCCTAACATTGGCCGTCTGGGTAACCAGTACTACAAGGGTGGTTATCAATAAGTTCAGTCAACTCTGGGTTCTCTATCGAGCCACGAGTGTGTTCATGTGAAAGAGGTGGGGGTGTTCATTATGAGAAACATCATCAGAACCATGAATGAAGGAGGCTGCTTCATGAGATGAAACAGTACTGCGAGATAGTGATGGGCAAAGCAGTTCTTTAGATGTTACTGAATCACTAGAATCAGTTCATTAAAAAGATTCATTCAAAAGATTCATTCGCCGAATCGTTCAGTGCTTGGCGGGAGGAGCCCTGACTGTGTACTGCGTCACGGCTGAGCTGCTGCTGCATCTGCCCTGCACTGGTGAGTCTCATTACTGGCCAGCCTAACGTTTTAAATTCGTTTATCTGGAAATTAAGTCTGTTAAAACAATAGGGAGGTGTGTGGTTGTGTTCATGTGGCTTGACTCCTGGCTACATTAGCCGTTAGCTTGGAGAAAACTGTCCCTATGAAAGTGTATCGCTGAGAAGAAATGATCTGAATCACTCAGGGATTGGGGTTACGTCGCTCACCGAGTGATTAATTCACCGAGTGATTCGTCACGCAGTAGGCACACTCCTGGCTGCCTTGCGAGTGATTCATCCCTGCACAGACCGAATTGGCAGTTCCACTCCCGGCCTGCATGCTCGCTGCTGAGCTCAACTGAACTGAGAAATGAACGAATCAGTTCCGGAAGTGATTCAGTTCAGTACGTTCACTCAGCAGATTCGTTCTTTTGAACGATTCGTTCATGAACAACACAACACAACTGCAAGACAATAAAATCTCAGTGGTGTGAGATGTAAATGACACTCTGTAATCCTATAACAGAAAATGTGGAATAATAGAAATGCCATTGAAAAATTAAGCATCGACCAATACTTAAATTATATTTAGGTATCACTACGCTATAAGTGACATTAGTATTTTTTGCTATTTAGTTGGATGATGAATAAGTCACATAAAACACTTTAAAGTAACACCAGACTCTTTCTATCACAGAAATAAAGGATGGCAAAGTAGCTTAGTGAATGACTGATGAGGTCTATCTGACCGGAATGTTGCATTTATAATATACGGGAGCCAATTAACAGTGTGTGAATTATTTTTTAGATAAAATATAATCTTTTTTCCTAGTTCTCATCACACATGTGCCTTATGTTATTTCAAAGTGGAGTTAATAACACCCACTATGCAGATATTTGCCCACACAGTTGTGAGCTTGCGAGTCCTGTCATTTCTGCTGGTTGTCATTCATCCTATAAATAAGTGTAATTCCCAAAATGTATTCCTTTAAAAAGATGTAGCCAATAAAATCCAAGGCTCTGCACACAAGACAACATAGATTTCCTTCTGTCCTTTATCTTGTCATACAAGGTCATGCACTTACACATAAATATATATATGTTTGCCCTGTAAAACTGGACTAACACATCAATGACCTAATTAGGCAGGAAAACAGCAGACCTTCACACACACTCAGGCAGGTCAATCAGTCCTGACACACTTATGGTAATCAGTTAATCAATCAACATGTCAATCTTCCTCAATCACAAACAGTAAAATAAACCACACTGACGCTAATTGTTAATGTAATAAAGTATATCTCGCTCTCTTTCCTCCTCCTCCTCCTCAGGCGTCGCTCCATGTTCCTGGTGAACTCCCTGGCTGTGATCGGTGGCCTCCTCATGGGCTTCTCCACTATCTGCTCCTCCTACGAGATGGTTATTGCCGGTCGCCTGATCATCGGCCTGTTCTGTGGTCTCTTTACCGGTCTGACTCCCATGTATGTGGGGGAGGTGTCACCCACTCCCTTACGAGGAGCCTTCGGCACTCTTCACCAGCTCGGTGTGGTGGTGGGCATCCTGATCGCTCAGGTGAGTGGGAGGCTTCCAAACAAACCTCACATTTAATGACCGAACAGCTCTCACAGTTTCTTACTGTATGATACAGTTAGCAGGTTCTGACTGTCAGTGGATTCATTTTGGATTGGGTGTTAGCTTTGCTGTGACTCTGACCCAGCTGTTGTGGCCCTATTGTTTAGATCTTTGGTCTGGAGGCTCTGCTGGGCTCAGCCAAGCTGTGGCCCCTGCTGCTGGCCCTCACTGTGGCCCCTGCTGTCCTGCAGTGCATCCTGCTGCCCTTCTGTCCCGAGAGCCCTCGCTTCTTGCTCATCAACCTCAAGCAGGAGGAGCAGGCACGTAAAGGTAAGCACTGATGCCAGCCAGTATGCTAGGGGACACGCTGCTCCACTTCACTGGCTGCTTGAATGGCTTCCCACTGGTGACATACCCTATGGTGGAATACACCTGATTGGATAAACATGCGGCCAGTTGGGCGGTCCCAGGAAACAACATGACGGCCTGCTCATAAACTTTCTGTAATTCCATCTTACAAAATACACCAAAATCTATTTCCGAAAACATTTGAGGCAAGAAATAGGCGATGCAACTGCTGATTCTTGTTTTATTTTAGAGCTTAGTTGCCTAGTTTGTCATCTTGGTCCAAGATTTGTGAGCCAGGCATACTGGAACCTCCACTGTGCACTGTGCAACTGCTTCTCTTACTCTCCGTAGGAAATTAATCAAAAGCGTTGAGACGGCCTTCATCCTCAGATCTGGTGGAAACTTATCATGATACTGCTACAATACTACTGCTTCTATTACAGTAGTACTGCTGCTACTGCTAGGGATGCACCAATATGGAAATTAGGCTGTGAACAAAAGGGAGATTTTCTGTGGTATTGTCAAATAGCCTACCCTCAGTGTGTCCCTGCCCCCCCATAACGCCTACACTACAAGGGAACATAATAAATACAAAGATTTGAAAGTAAAATGACTTTAATCAGTATTACAGTTATAGTTAATGGTAGGAGAGAGGGAGATGATGAAGCCCAGTGTTACTGTGTAATTTTCTGGTGTATCAGTGAAGTGTATAAACTACACTGCAGAGTGGAGTCTCCACTAACAGACACAAACAGTGACAGCTGACTCATATGAACATCGGCAGGTCCCCGTTACATCTGGTGTATCAAATGCTTAAATTGTCTCGCTGCATTTTTATAAACACACCCAGGCGCCGTCTCACTGTCTCACGATCGACTAGCCTTTAAGTAGAATAGCGATGGTGTTTGGATGTAAGCCGCTGCTGCTAATTAGCTCGTGCTAACACTCTGGAGATGATCCTTCAGTGCTGTGTCTTACCTGTTTAACAGCTGCAGGAAATTTATTGATCTGGCGGGGGGTCAGACAGTAGACAGCAGATCAGACCCTCAGTGCAATCCGGTTGTCTTCATCTGGAACTGTGAAAGATGACCACACCGCGCCATATTTTGCCCCTGAGACAGCATGCTACAGTTGTTGTTCTTCTTCTCTGTGTTTATTGGCAGCTCGCAAACCAAGTGTAAAGGTACATGTTCTGCCACCCACTGTGTCTGGTGTGTAGATGCTGCCCTTGTTAAGGTAGTGAAAGCACTCTGGCTTCGTATTATTGGTGCTATAATTATACAAAAATGTCCCATTATTGGCTGATAATTTATGGCCCAATATATATCGTGCATCTCTAGGTACTGCTATACCACTGTCACCACTACTGTGCAACTGTTACGAACATGTCTACTGCAAGTATTGATATCATTACTGCAGTCACTACTGGCAGCACTGCTACTATCACAACTACTATCTCCACTACTACAACTACTGCTTACACTACTGTTTCTATGGCACTTGCTAGTATTATTCATGCTGCCTGTACTGCTATGGTGTGACTGCCACTAACACCACTGCAAGTCCAGGCATTACAGCTACAAAATGACCACAGTCACAGTGCTGCTCTACTACTACAGTGGCACCACAGCCACTGCTGCAGGCTTTACTGTCACCACTAATACACACTCTACTAGCTGCTTTTACTGCTACAACTGCTGACACTTTACAACTATTACAAATACAACTACAGTTATCACTTATACTGCTGCTGCTGCTGCTATAACTCCTACTATCAGTGCTACTACAACTGCTTATACTGTGTTACCTCTACTGTAACCACTGCCACTATCTATAGTACAAATCTACATCCTACTGCTGTTAGTATATTGCAACTAATGATACTACTTCCTCATTCTGCTTCTGCAAAAACTGCTACTTAAAGTAATTCCACTGCTACAACTGCTGTTATTTCTGCTACTTGGAATACTGATATAACTCCAGAGATCATTGCTTTTGCTCCTCACATGCAATACTGCTGCTTCTGTCAATATTACCACTACGGTTAAAAAGAATTACTGTAACATTTAAAAAACTGCATGTGAGAAAGAGATTCTGAGAGGAAGAATGTTAGAATGATCAGATGAAAGAGAAAACAGGAGAAAAAGATCAAGGAGAAAGACAGAAAATCCAGAGACAGGGAGTTACAGGTACACACTGGTGAGATCAGGTGAGACGGTGATATTTTAGCCTGGAGAGAAGAGTCCTTGAGCAGACAGAAGGTTTTGGCGTCTGTTCAACACGCAGCCTGCCAGGGTCGTCTCTGAGGCATTGACCCACTTCTCCCCAACACCTCTCATCTGACACAACACAAACAAACACAGGGCTCCACAGTGAGAGTTGCATCATAGTGTCTGTGACTGTGTGCCGTTTGTGGTGTTCACAGTGAAATAGTTTTCTCTGCTCTTTCTGGTGAAGATAAAGAACATGCTTGGCCTCTGTTGCAACAGCTGAACCAAAAAAGAAACCAACGAGTCACTCTGTACTGATTGTGTCACTGCATACTTTGTGGAAAAGGAAAACACAGTCGTAGTTCTTGGGTCTCCAGAGAGGGCAGCTTTAAATCCACTCTGTGTTGGATTTAATGTGGTTATAGCATCTGTTAAAAAAAGTGTCCTCTGAAAACTGGTAGTCTGATGGTACTTTCAGCCAATTTCTGTCAGGGTCCCTGGGTCAGATTTGTGGGGTGGCAAGGAAGCTCTGTAAGGTCAATAGTGTCACATAAGTTAGGTGATTTTGTTCCCTGCAACCATTGGACTACTTGCTTTATTGTTACTGTAATTTACGAATTAGCTGGCAACAAAGATGCCCGCGAGGTTCACAACAAGAGAGCTGAGGATGGCATGAGTTTCCATCACGTGCAAGAAAGCTCACGTGGTAACAGTTCAGCGTGTCCGAAAAGATACATACATTTACTTTAGATTATGTACTAAACCCATGTCTGAAGCCTCGTACTGTCAGTGAGTCTTTGTGCGGACACAGTGGCCACCACACAGAGTATGTTTCTCTTCTCTGCCTTTATGCTTGTCAAAGATAAAGACACATCGTATTTATGGTTTCTTGACAGCACTGGTGCGTCTGCGTGGCAGTGAGGATGTGAGTAAAGATCTGCAGGAGATGAAGGAGGAGAGCGCCAAGATGGCCATGGAGAAAAAGGTCACCATCCCGGAGCTTTTCCGCTCTGCAGCGTATCGTCAGCCCCTCCTTATCGCTGTCATGTTGCAGCTCTCCCAGCAGCTGTCTGGGATCAACGCTGTGAGTCAGCACCAGGCAGCACATCCACACACACACACACACACACACACACACACAGGGGGCTACATACAAATACACACATATACAATGCATACATATGTTTACAGTAATATGCAAAAGTTTGGGTACCACTGGTCAAAATTTTGTTGAACTGATCTCCAAAAGGCAAGAAGTTATAGATGAAACATGCTTTTGAACATTAAGCAAGATTGGTGTTTCAAATCAAATCAAATCAAAATCAAATCAACTTCATTTGATTGGTGTATTATATTTTGTTTTCAGGGAGCTGTTTCCTCCGTTTGTAATGATTTTAAGAAATGTCAGTTAACAGGAACTGTGGAGGTCAAGTTGAGGTCTGGAAGACCAAGAAAGTTTTCAGAGAGGGCAGTTCGTAGGATTGCTACAAAGGCAAATAAAAACTCCTGTTTGACTGCAAAAGACCTGCAGGAAGATTTTTCAGACTCTGGAGTGGAGGTGAACTGTTTTACTGTGCAGCGACACCTGTACAAATATGACCTTTATGTGTTCTCACCACAACATTCAGCATCAGAAGTTTGCAAAGGAACATCCAAACAAGCCATGGTGCTTTTTGGAAACAAGTCCTGTGGACTGATGAAGTTAACATAGAACTTTTTGGACACAATGAGCAAAGGTATGTTTGGAGAAAAAAGGGTGCGGAATTTCATAAAAAGAACACCTGTCCAGCTGTTAAACACGGGGGTGGCTCGATCATGCTTTGGGCTTGTGTTGCAGCCAGTGGAACGGGGAACATTTCACAGGTAGAGGGAAGAATGGATTCAGTTAAATTCCAGCAAATTCTGGAAGCAAACATCACAGCATCTGTAAAAAAGCTGAAGACGAAGAGATGTTGGTTCTACAACAGGACAATGATCCTAAACACACTGAAATCTACAGTGGACTACCTCAAGAGGCACAAGCTGAAGGTTTTGCCATGGCCCTCACTGTCCCCCGACCTAAACATCATTAAAAATCTGTGGATAAACCTCAAAAGAGCAGGGCATGGAGGACTGCGCAAGAATCTCAAGACGGCCCAAGAATCTCACAGAATAAGCGCCTTTTGCAGGAAGAATGGTTGAAAATCCCCCAAACAAGAATTTAGAAACTGGTTACAAAAAGTGTCAAGAAGTTGTGGTACTTGCCAAAGGGGGTGCTCCTAAGTACTGACCATGCAGGATGACCAAACTTTTGCTCCAGGCCCCTTTCCTTTTTGCGATTTTGAAACTGTAAAAGATTGAAATTAAAAAGTAATATTGCTAAAAATATTGAAGTAATGTATCATCTTTAACTTCATGCCTTTTGGAGATCAGTTCATCTTCTACTTACTTAACTACTCACAGCAGGGCTGCCCAAACCTTTAGATGCCACTGTATTTGGATACCCATTAGTTGTTTCCCTGGCAACATCTTTTAGGGAATGGGAGATGACACTGTGATTGGTTGAATTCATGTTTTTCCCAAAACATCTATAATTAATTAAGGTATTGACTTCAACCTGTTTGCCCTTTGTTCCTTACTTTGGGCTCAGATTATGTGCCGTTTAACCAGTAAGAGTGGAGTTCGAAGATGCCATTAATACACTTGCGCTATGCACTTTAGACCATGCGCTACAGATTGTTTAAATAGGGCCCTAAAACTTGTGTGTACTAGTTGTAATACTTTGTCCAACCTAGGAAGCCAATGTTAGCCAAATCCTCCCAGTAAAAGGCAGAGTCAGGGATAGATTGCGTATTGGTAGAGTCAAGGTGAACATGATTATAGAATCGATATAACATAATTTCATATGAAAAAATAAGTATGTGAAAGCTGGATTTATGTTCAAATCGAGTTATAAAATCTGTGTGTTTTCATCTTTTCCATCCTCCCTGTGTCCCTCAGGTGTTCTACTACTCCACAGGCATCTTTGATTCAGCCGGTGTCAAACAGCCCATCTACGCCACCATCGGAGCTGGCATCGTCAACACTGTCTTCACTGTTGTATCCGTGAGTGACATCAGCGTGTTTGTCTTTGTTCCTGCGTGTGTTTTCGTAAGCGTTCAGCAGCACATCACTGCCTCTCATGTCTGTCCTGCAGCTCTTCCTGGTGGAGAAGGCAGGACGAAGGACTCTGCACCTGCTGGGACTGGGTGGAATGGCGATCAGCGCTCTGCTCATGACCATCTCCCTCCTGCTGGTGAGTTTGGCACGGTGACAGGGTTGAAGAGAGACTGAGTGACAACAGCTTACCAATGCAGGCAACTCAGCAAAGAGGAAAAATTGGGGAAAGTCAGCAAGTCATTTTCTCTCAACCTCAACTGGCTTACCTTCACAATTCTAACAAGGTTATTACAGATAATAATTTGAGTATTTGTGTAAAATATAAGTGATGGCCAAATGAAGCTCCATGAAGCATTTTCTTTATTTTATGTGTCCACTAGATGGCGCTCTTGGTTTAAAGAGAGAGACTCAAAAAATGGCAATTCAGTGTGCTTTCATCTTTTTGTTGAAGAAAAAGCACCATCTAGTGGGCTTATAAAATAAAGAAAATGCTTCATGAGGCTTCATTTGGCCATCACTATAAAATATATACAAATAAAATGTCACTAAAATGCAGGAGTTCACCCAAACTGTCTTCAACTTAACCTTCCTACAAAATGACTGATTAATGCAGTGTTAAACTTTTGACCTTTTGCCAAATCTTTTAGCTTGAGCTCAAAATTCAAATACCGGTAATAAATAAACTCACTCTAATTTTCTGTGCCATTCAGCTCCCTCCCTTCAAAATAATACATGAAAACATCCTATGTATATGCAGTACATTGCAGTTAGGTCTTTTTGTAACCAGTTATTATAGAACAGATTTCATGACTTGTCATTTTTAAAGGTTACAGTAAGAATAGTGTATTCATCAACACATGTTCTCATTAAACAATTAGTAGATTTAATTAATTCTCTATACAACACACTCTACATATTATATGTCACTGACTTTTTCTCTCCCCTTATCTGAGCAGAAGGACCTTCCCGTGATGAGCTACATGGCCATCATTGCTGTTATGCTTTTTGTGGCTATGTTTGAGCTTGGCCCCGGTCCAATCCCATGGTTCATTGTGGCCGAGCTGTTCTCTCAGGGGCCTCGTCCAGCAGCCATGGCTGTGGCTGGCTGCTGCAACTGGACGGCCAATTTCCTGGTTGGAATAAGCTTCCCAAAACTAGTGGTAAGGGAGGGGCGATTGTCTGGGTTTGATGTTGGTTTGGGTTGCTGTTTATTTCTTATCTTTACTTTTGCTTTGTTTTCTTTTATTATAACTTTCATTTTAATGCCTTGGCGCCGGCAATACCCAAGGGAGGACACATTTTGTTTTCGGGTTGTCTGTCCGGCTGTGTACGTCCGTCCCATTCTAATGAACGCAATATGTCAAAAACACCTTAAGGAATTTTCTCAAATTTGGCACAAACATTCACTTGGACCTAAGGATGAACTGATTAGAATTTGGTGGTCAAAGGTCAAGGTCACTGTGTCCTCACAAAACCTGTTTTGGCCATAACTCAGAATGTCTTACAGGATCAAACAATGAAGTGATGACATCTTTTATCCAAAGGTCAAAGGTCAACTTCAATGTGACATCATAATGTAATGCAAAACACTTCTCTGACCATTACTCAACATCATATCTCAGGAACAGAAGGAGAGGCATTTGGTCAGATACTGAATTGGTGACTCTAATCTTGGGTGTCCACCTTGAGACTAATGATTGGATAGAAGATGTGTGTGTAGAATCCACATTTTAGGATATGTAACTTATTTGCAGCAACATTCATATTTGTAGCATTGTCTACTGCTAGCACCCCCCAACCGCCAGGATAAGCGATTATGGAAAACAAAAAAAAAACATTATATTTGTATAATTTCCTTCTGGCTTCTGCTTCTACTTTTTCCCCTCACTATTATATTCATTCATTCATTTTCCGTAACCACTCATTCTGTTGAGGGTCGCGGGGAGGCTGGCGCCTATCCCACTGACATTGGGCAAGAGGCAGGGTACACCCTGGACAGGTCGCCAGACTATCACAGGGGTAACACATAGAGACAGACAACCATTCACACTCACATTCACACCCACGGGCAATTTAGAGTCACCAGTTAGCCTGCATGTCTCTGGACTGTGGGAGGAAGCTGGAGTACCCAGAGAAAACCCACGCTGACACGAGGAGAACATGCAGACTCCACACAAAAGGGCTCCCCCACCCTAGGTTTGAACCAGAAACCCCCTTGCTGTGAGGTGACAGTGCTAACCACTAAACCACCACGCTGCCATTCACCATTAGAAGATACACGTTTTGTTTACTTTTTTGAATATATTCAATTGTAACGAGAACTCTGAACATGTAAAACAAAGAATTTCTTTGAAACTGACCCCCCACTCTTCTCTCTTCAGGAGGCATGCGGGCCTTGGGTATTCCTCATCTTCACCGCCTTCCTAATCATCTTCTTCATCTTCACCTTCATCAAAGTCCCAGAGACGAAGGGTAAGACCTTCGATGAGATCGCTCGCAGCTTTGGTGGCGGCCCGCCTCCCACCTCCTCATCTGTTGAGGATCCTCCTGCCACTGCCAGCGCCGCCACAACGCTTCCTGCTTCACCAGTGAAGGAAAAGGTCCCGCTGGTGGAGGCGCCACCGCCGGCAGCAGCAGCAGTAGTTGATCCACCCCCGGCAGCTGAAACCACACCCCTTGATGTTAAATCCAAATCAGCAGTGCAGGAGAGTGTGTAGAGCAGCTGTAGGTAGAGTTTAATGGGTGAAGGGGGTTATGAATGAAGGAAGAATCACAGAGATTACAAAAGTGCTGTAAATTGTAATTAATTATCAAACCTTGGAACAATAGAAACTTTATAATTTTAATACCAAAAATGGCAGCATTATCAGCTTAGAGGTGTTGACCTTTAAAAGGTCATGCTTTCTGCTTTTGTGGTAGACTCCTTATTAGTCTCTGACATTTCCTCAACTTCCTTCTTTTATATCCTCCCTTCCTCACCTGTGAAAGGGAAGCAGTCACTGTACAATGCTACAGATTAAATCTACTGTACATTCCTAGGAATTAAGCTACATTCATTAAAAGGGTGAGTCTTTTTCAAGACAGCTGTGTGTCTAGTCAGGGCGGCACTTTTCCAACACAAATGCAGGTTGTGTTAATGGAAAGTGTTGCTGTCCAGGCAAAGGTCCAGGTTTAAATGTCCGTCACTGCAGACTAGAAGCAGAATGTGTTGACAACGGCACAGCCTTTTGTTTCCAGACATGCTAAGTCCATTCTGAGTTCAGGTCCATGTAGTGCAAGAGGCAACATGGATAGCGATGATGCACTATTTATTTATTTATTTTTTATTTAATGTATTTTGAAAGTTTAGACAGGCATTGTAGTATATATTATAGTGCAATATAACTTGATAGTTTCATGTAGTGATATTTAATGATCTGTTAATTCTTCTAGTGTTTTCGGAAGTGTTTTCAGAAGGGATTTTTAGAATTTATGTTCTGCCTTCAGCTGTTAAATATGAGCTGACAAGCTGTGGAGCTTTTTAGCAATGCCAAAGTACTGAACTTTAATTTCCACCTGGTGAACACGTGTAACTTTAAATGTGTTTCAGTTTGGGAAATTAGCAGCAGCAGCCACAGGTCTCAAGTTTATTCATTCTGAAAGCTGGTTAAAGCTGTAATCCACAAGTTTGTTCAACTTTATTTAGTTTAGCACCTTGTTCTGCTTTTTCTTGAATTTAGGTAAAAGGAATACAAAATGATCATTTGCATATCAATGTCCTACCCTGTGTAACACTGAGTTCATGAAGAAAACTTTGCTCCACAGTGAACGAAGAATCCAAAAACAGAGAAAATGCTCAGTGGTTTGAAGCCAATGGAGGCAGCGTTTAACAACAGCAAAACTATATCACAAAGCTGGTTTATAAACACTCACACAACTTGGCCTTAGTACAATCTGAGTTAGCAAACATTGGTCTGACGTTGACGTTTCCTTGGCCCAAACTGGTCCCGGTCAGACACCAAAATCTGAAACGTGGTGATACGGCAAATGGCCAGATGATGGTGTTATTTCCACCTCCAATTCCAAGAAGCCCATTCAGATTCTGTCTTACAAGCATATTATTATAATATTGATCATATTATTGCTGTGAAAAAGCAAATAGATACATCTTTGTTTTGTTTTTTTTGTATCACAACAATGATTTATTGACAATTTTATTTCTTTGGTTGTGGAATGGTTGTAATCAGATGGCCACACCATGATGTCCACTCCAAGTGCAAAGAGTAGTATTACTGGACGCCCATTTTTTTTTAAAAAAAAAAAAAAGTGGGTTTTTTTGCATTCTTGCCTTCAATTGATAGGACAGTATTAAGTGTGAAGGGGGAGTATATGCATTTGAACTCTGCTAATGCTTTCCATTTAGCAGAGTTCAAACGAATGTGTTTTCTCAGGCACGCTACATGCATGAGACTATTTATTCAGAAGTGTTTTAAATAGAAAGGTTTTTGTGAAAATGCATGTGTTTGGGAAGTACTGAGCATATGACTGCATAAATGAGACCTGGATTATGCGGCACCGGTTGTTTGAGAAGTTGTAAACATATGTTTTGATATAATTTTGCTGTTGTTAGATGCGGCCCCCTTTTATCATCAAGAATTTTCGTCTTTGGTTTCTTTGTTCAAAAAAGTTTTCCTGAAGAATTCATCGTAACATGGGGTGAATAACTGCTGTTCAAAAGGTCTTTTTGTGGATGAAATATGCGTTTAACTGAGTTGGTGCTGAGTTCAGTCCAAACAAACAAATTTCCTGTTTACCAGAGAATTTGGTTTAAAAAAAAAAATCATTCACTCCTTATTGATTCAATTTCCACTCAAATTTATGAATAGACAAATACATATTCTGTTGTTAAATCTTGTGGATTATTGCTTTATTGCATTGGTAAATTACTGCAAGCATTTTAGGACATGCTATGACTGAGGCCTGTGGACAAAAACATGTCGGCTGGATTGTCATAGATTACAGTAGGGTAATGTGCAATGTATATTATTTTTTGTTAGAGAGAAAATTATGAGTATTTATTTCCTTAGAAATTAATTTTTATATGAAGTATAAAATTATAATACACTAAAGCCAGTTTAGAATCGTAATGCTTTCCAGATTAGCCCAAGTAATGAAAAGCTAAATGAGTCTGCAGTGAGCTTTTCCTGCTGTGGTGGAGTAAACCTACATCACATGAAGTGCAACACTGTAAATCTCATTTGTTACTCTCTGTGTAGATGCACTTTGTAAACCAGATAAGCAGCAAAGCATTAGAACCAGAATCACTAATGTAGAAGCCACTGATAACAACAGCGCTTTGTGTCAAATGAACAGAATAATATTTCTATTTACAAAGCGACTGCGTATATCTGGCCGAGCTGTTATTAGAATAGATAGGTATGAAATGTGCAATCAAAAAAGAAACTGCAGCCTGAATTATGTTGGAGCTAATCATGAAACGAGGAAAGTAACGGGGAAGTGCTAATACTGTATAAACAACGGGTACACATTATTTAAGTGACAGGCCGATTTTAATAGTTCCTGACGTTTGATTAGAAAAAAAATAATCTGGTTACCTTATATGATTTTTTTCTTTATTATTTTTACATTTTCACAAAGGGAGAAATGACAAAAAACTCAATTTTGTTGACCTCGATGATGATCTGAGAAAATAATTTGTTAAAATCAAAACAAGGAGTGTAATTCCAAAATGAGATATCCACCATTTTAAAAACCAGGCTCCTCTTACTGTAGCAGGACATGAAGTTATGGTGGTGTCATAACATTGGGAGTTTACAAATAAGATTCAAAAGTAGAGACGCTTTGGCAAGAAGGATTTCTTATTGATTTAGAGGGCAGAAACTACACATCATGTGTTGTATTGAATCAAAGAAAAAGAGACAGATTTTTAAAAATTCTGAATTTTAAAAAATGTTTTGTCTTTGTCTCCTAATTTTGTCTGTTGGCTACGTTAGCTATCTCGTGCTCCAATAACTGCAGTATTCTGTCAATCATTAATTTTGGTGTCTTACAATGAGGTAATATTAAGAGAACAGAGGTTACAGGAGAAATAATCTCATGTGTTTTACTTCCAGCCTCTGGTCTCTAAAGGTTCTGTATGCGACATTCAGAGCATCAATATAGCAGAAAATCACTATTTGTAATGTAAAAATATAGTGGAGTAATGGCAGTCAAACTACCTGTGTGTGTGTGTGTGTGTGTGTGTGTGTGTGTTATAATCTGAGCTTCTCTGTAGTTTGTTGTGGTAAGCCACATGTGCATATAAAAAGACCTGGACTCAGCGTTGAAGTGGGGTCATGTTCATTCCTATGAAAGTTGATCGATGATGCATGAAGCCAAAAAAAAACTGACTTCCTGGTTTTTAAATTACCCGAGAACTTCTGCATCGTTGGGTCAATAGACCAAACACACTAGAGACTTTGCTGGCTGAGCAGCTAACTTCCAGTTTAGGGATGAAATGATCAGGGCTGCCCCGAATAGATAGAGAGGGAGTGATAGAGAGGGGTGGAAGGTGGACTATAGCACGCAGTGTTTCTGTTTGAAAATTAGTATCCCTTGCCACCTTTTTCCAGTTTCCTCCACCAGTTTACTGGTGAAAAAACAAAACAAAAAATGAAGCATTCAAATACTGACTTGGACGTCAATTACCGTGGCAACCACTGAAGCTTCGAAGCTTCAAATCATTCAGGTCAGCCCTTAAAACGATTTAATCATGCGGCTGTGGATCAAATGGATCAAATCCCAAAAGTGAAGCCAGTCATTTTGCATGGGTCGTGACACTCAAAAAAATGTATCCACTGATTTGCAGATGTCTCTTTTAAAGTGTAAGTCTATGGGAAAAAGTATTTTTGGGCCAAATGGCATCACGTGACAAACCTACAAGTTGTAGTTAAACAGCTGGACCACTATGTCAAATTGGCTTAAAAGTCTGCGGAAGTGTAATAATGATAATAATAATGATGCATTTTATTTGTTAGGGCGCCTTTCAAGCCACTCAAGGTCGCCTTACAGCAAAGATAAAAAAGCATACATCAAACAAGAAACACAGCACAGTAACACACGTATGGCGCTCATCGTTTGCTCTGTCAGCTCTGCTGCCATTGTTTAGAGTTGTTTATAGAGTTAGCACTGTTAGCTGCTAGCTGCCAGCTCAGCCACCTCCATGTTGAGAACCATGTGCAAAGAACTCATACGCTCTGAATTTTGCATAGAACTCCTTTAACTCAAACTCACTATTTAAGAACACAAACTACCTTCCTATCTGCCTTCAAGTCAAAATTAACAATTTTCTTAAAAATTGACATTTTGGTGTAAAACTCTCAGATGTGTTAACTTGTTCGATGTGTGTCAGAATGCTGACATGACATGTTGTTGTGATCTAACATGAAGAAGGTGTTCACATTTTGTATGACATTTAAAGCCCAAATGCACTGAACGCGACTTTTGACACTTTGTCAATATAGTGAGTGACAAATGAATTATGTATGTCAATACCGATTTAGATAATAACAAAGTTAACAAAACATCCTAGTTTGTTGTCTGAATCAGACACTTCCAGTGTGTTTCGGCTTTATTTGTCTGGTCCAGTCGTCGTCTACATTGTAATGCTTTGTCTGAAGTCAGCCATGTTGTAGCATTGTCAACCTTTACATAGTTATGCATTACCAACATTGTACAGTTTGTTTGGTTAATACGTGTGTGACGCAAAGTAGGCTATATTTTCTATATGATTCATGCTGCACTTTGAGAACATATTTATTTATATATGTATTATTTATTTTTTTGGCTACACTGGGAAAATATTTATCTTGACAAGTAATTCAAATGATATATACTGAAGTGTAACATTTGATTGGAGTGATACTTCCCTTGTTTTAAAATACTGACTCGTAAGCTGATTTGAAAACATTAAAGTATGTCAGTGACATTTTTCGCTTGTTTTGAGAAATAGAAGCCCGTAAGATTGATTTGACGTGATGATAAGGGGCTTGTTAAGATGAATATTTCTTACAGTGCGAAGATAGATTATGGTCGGAGTCATGGCTTCGTTGTGTATTGCTGTATTTGTGGATGATAGTGACGTGCTGTGTTTGCACTGGGGGAGGTGCGTGGTACACTCCTCTCATGGTAGTGTTCAGTGTTGTATTCAACTTCTCCTGCAAGGTCCTGCTTCTGTCTTTCTATTAACACTGCTCCTGCTGTAGGGCACTAACACTGAACTTTACCAAACCTGAGTCTAGTATGGATTTAAAATGCTTTCTATTACTCAGCCTGCCCAGTCGGGTTTGCGTCTTGTGATATCGCAACTTCAGGTATCTCCAGAGATCTGTATTCATCGCTACCATTTCTCTCCGAGGTGATATTAAGGTGTCTCAGAGGTAAAAGTGAAGAAACAGATTGTGTTTAATATGATGTTTTAAAAGTGCTAAAAAGAGCAGAAATGTCTCTTTTGACCAGGAGGGATTTGTTTGGGGTGCCACATTAATACCAAGTTAAAAGTTTTAGTTCAAGGTGCAGGTCTGTGGCCAACATGAGGGTGCAATCACACCTACAGCTTGTTTTCTCTGGTTCAAACCATTGTTTTTAGGTGACACTGCCCATTTATGAATCAGGGGTTGTATAGTCGACTAATGTATGTAAACTTGCCACTGTATGAGCAGTGGTTACATAACCTTTGAAAAGGCTAACTTTATTGTGCACATGCATGCATGGACATGGGGATAGGTGAGCTCCGGTACTGGGGCAAACAAACACAAAACTTTCACCCTGGAGATCACTGTTTGTGTCCAGTGTGAAACTAATGGTCAACACTTAACCTTATACACTTTAGTCCTTTACAAAGTTATGTCACGTTACATTAGTCACTTTACGAACATCACTTTACGTACTTAGGTCACTTTATGTACGTACATCACTTTCGACTAACTTGCGTCCCGTACGTAACAAACGTAGTTATTTTAAATGAAAAGAAGATCATTTACTAAACCTAACCAAGTACTTCTGGTGCCTGAACCGAAACCCTCCCACCAAACGTAATTTTGCATTAATGGGTCGTGGTCATTTCACATATTTCTGTGGAAGCATGTTGATATTTTAGCACTTTGGGCTGGTCAAGACAAATCCAAAGAAGTGCATGCATCTCCCCATAACCACGCCCCCTTTTGGCCAATTGGCCAACACAAACACACACCTTCACACACACACTTGGTGGTGGGGAAATTTTTGTGGACTGTCCAGTAACCAACAGAGTGAGCTATACAGCTGCTGGTTGCAGCTAAAAATCCCAAACTGTATTGTTTTTCACCCGGCCTTATAAAGTGAACTAACGAAACAAATGCTCTGGATTTGAAGCAAACTTGTGTGGTGTGGCTGCACTCTGAGAAATGGCTGAATCAGCGAATCACAAAAGTACATGAAAGGATTTGAATCAAACAGTGGACCCAGGTGCACACTGCTCCTAACCATAGCCACCCACTTTATGCACATGTATGAACTCAAAATGCTCCACTGTACAGGCACAGGAGAGTATAAGTATTCATCTGTAAATATGTATTTTTTAAAAGAGTACTGTTTATATGTTGAGTTGCACGGTCATGAGTGTGTGGATTATTTTTCTTTCGGGGTGCACATGTTTTGTTGAAGAGAGGAGCTGATTTAGCTGAACGTCTCTTTACTCTTTCATAGTGGCAAATTTAGTTCCTTCTGTGTGTGGACGTAAGTCACTGACTGCCTCCTCTCTTTCATTTTCACCTCATGTATTTGTCATCATTCAATCACAGTCGTGTACTTTTATCTGTGTGCCTATTCAGATTTATACTCAGAGATGTTGATAGTAGTTGACTTTTCTCATTTTTTTGCCACCATATGGTCATTGTTTTCTTTTCTTCAACAATTTATGTCTATGATCACATTTCGATGGTGGCTGCTGCCAACATTGTCAAGAGCCAAGGAGTAAATTCCAAACATGGTATATTCCACTTGCTTATTGTAACAAAAGCATCATCATTGATTACCAGATACGTCATAATAAACCACCTCTAAAATGAACCATGTAGTGTGACAGACTTGAATCAACATGCTTTAGCTGCTGTGATCTTTGTTTTGCTCATTTGTTTGGCCCTGATCTGTGTGTTACAACTGTGTAAATAAATGTACTGACTGTGCTGTATGCTTGAGTATCATGTACTGTAAGCTATTTGTGCCTCTCTGCACCTCACACATTCACAGACACATTATTTATAGTGTGTTACTGAAGTGATTTCAGACACACACAGCCATTGTCTGTATGCTTTGCTGTTTTGATGGCAGCCAATGACTCAGATAAATCTTCATTAAGTGATACTTACAGGATGTTTAGGGATTTGATTGAATCTGTTAAAGGGACAGTTCACCCCAAAATCAATTTAGATGTTTTTATTTTACCTGTAGTGCTAAATGAGTCTAGACTGATAAACAGCACTACAAGTAAGAAGGTTGGTATGTATTTTAGATTTTTTGGGGGGTGAAATGTCCCTTTAACTGTAGCTTTAGTTTCTGTAATGTGACGGATATGAGCTGAGCAGATGACACTGTAGCTTCAGTGAGAATAGTCAGGCTTTTTGACATTTCTCTGTGCCACGCTGGTGATGCACCCCAACTGTATTTTGTTTCACTTGTGTTTGTATTGTACATGTTGTTAAATAAAATATTCATCATGTAACGAGACATGGTGTGAACGTGTAATAACAGTATTCCTTTTACCTTATTCTTGGATTTTATGTGTTTGAGCTTTGGTGCATTTGAGTATGAGTGAAACATCAGTGATCTTGATATAAATATACTGTACATTATACGCAGTGGTACTATGAGCTTTGTATTTTACGTGTCAAGATCAGCGTACTTGTCAGAACGAAACTGTTGTAAAATGTTGCTGTGGCTGTGAAAGAGTTTTTTTTGTTTTAAAGGGTGACTTTGGTATTTTTCAACCTGGAACCTATTTTCCTATGTTTTTGTGTCCAACTGACCAATGGGAACAACAATTTTGGAAATTGGTCTGGTACTGATTAAGATCGCTGCAGCCAGCAGCCGTGCAACAGGCTGCACGGTAATCATTAAGGGCATGTTTGCTAGTGATGGCCAAATGAAGCCTCATGAAGCATTTTCTTTATTTTATGAGCCCACTAGATGGTTTAAAAAGGGAGGCTCAAAGAATGGCAATTCAACGTATTTTCAATCTTTTGTTAAAGCGCCATCTAGTGGGCTTATAAAATAAAGAAAATGCTTCATGAGCCTTCATTTGGCCATCACTAATGTCAAAGTACAACCACTAAAAGTGCTTGTTTTTGCTACTGACAGGTTCAGACTGTTATTGTGTCTGATAACTAATGGAAATTATTCCTACATTGACCTTTTTGTTAAAGAGTAATATCCCTTTTGTTTAACCAGAAATAGCCCCAAAGCACAAATTGGGGCTGTATACACACTGGGTTTTTTGCACCCTCAAATTTGTTCTTTTCAATGTAGATGCACAGCAGGCACTCAAACATCAGAGCGGCATGCATGTGTTCCTGAGTGCGACGGCTGCTCAATTAGATAAACTGAGTTTAACTTGTGGAACACAGCAGCAAGCACCACATGTCATTTGACAAGGACCAGCCAATTGCTGACAGATATCTTTCCCTTCTTCTGGAAATATCAGTCTGTGATAAATATGGGGAGGAGGTCGATCATTTTAGTGCAAGGCTGCCAGAGCTTCTCATCTGTCCTGAGGACAATAGGCCTACACACAAACAGTGCTTTCACGAAAATAGGCTACGATACGGTGCTTGTTGAGGTTGCTTAGTAACTTCAGATAGTGATGGCCACATGAAGCCTCATGAAGCATTTTCTTTATTTTATGAGCCCACTAGATGGCGCTTTTTCTTCAACAAAAAAGTTGAAAGCACACTGAATTGCCATTCTTTGAGTCTCTCTCTTTAAACCAAGAGCACCATCTAGTGGGCTCATAAAATAAAGAAAATGCTTCATGGGGCTTCATTTGGCCATCACTAACCTCAGATGCAACCTGCCACCGCAATCTTGAAAGCTGGCACAGAAAAGGCAAAAGAGTAGCACCTATAGCGCCTGACCTCGCATTTTCCAGGCAGTTAGACGTAGCATATGTATGGCCCCTTAGTGGACATAAAGTGATAGTGCAAATATGCCCTTGAGTGGTTACATTGCAGCCTCTAGCTGCAGCGCTCTTGCTCAATTCTGGACTAATTTCAAAAATTGTTGTTCCCATTCATAACAGACGATAAAACACTGGAAAATATGGTTGAAAAATACTTAAATTACCCTATGATATAAGCCTGAAGACCACACATTTGTATGTCTGCTTTACTAACTGGAAGTATGGAGTTTGAAATATGTATATTTAGTCCAACAAAAGACTATGAGGTTGCATTATGGGAAGTGTAGGACACAGAGCTGTCTGGGAGTGTGGCACTAAGGATGAGTGGGTGCACCATTATCTGTAGCTATATTTGTATCTGTTCAACCAATTTAATTATCTGAATCTGAAGCTGCACTCAGAATGGGCTGGGTTTGAACTGGAAGTGGGTGGGGTTTAAATCAAAAGAGGATGTGTCCTAACTGGAAGTTGACATTTTAAGCCTGGAATTCATATGGCTCAATCTATATTTATTATTCATTCAAAAATGGTGCACAAATCAATCTCAGAATTAGGCTCCAGATTATGTTTGATCACAAGACTCAGAGATCAACCCAGCTACTTGAATGAGGATTTTCCCTTGTCATGAATACAGATATTGAAACATTTCACTTGTATAAATAGTCATAGAAGGTACATTATCTGTGCCAGGTACTCCTTTCATCGGAGTATTCAACTCAGCCCTATGTGGGTCTGAATATCTCTGCCTCTGCAGCATCAAATGTTTTAATCCACGTCTCACAAAGCGCACAAGTTCATTAGATTGCAGGAGTGCACCTGTGAGCTTGGTTTAAGTTGTTAAGCAGTTATGATTTTGCAGTCAAGCTGTCCTTAAGATAGATATGAGCAAACCCAGCACTAACAAGATGACATAAGTGACAATTTGAAAATGTATTGATTGTAATGATATAACTAAATATGCATGTGTTATAATGGAGTGTAAGAGAAAAACTGACACCACTTTGCATTAAGTATCAAAACCCAAAGGTTTGACACATTCACAAGTCTCAACTCAGCAGAACTCATGCTGTGAATGAATCAGCCTGCCCATGTTGAAATGTGGTGGCACTTCAACAAGAGAGGGGATATTATCTTATGATTGGGCTACATGAAATGAAATTTTAAACAGGTCTGTGCACATTTGGGGAGCAGGGGGTTCTCAGGTCCTGCACTGAGTCTCAGAACGGTGTCAGAACGGTGTCAGTCCGGCCCTGAGTGGACCGAGGAGCATCCCCCTCTCTCCGTCCTGCTGCTCCGTCATCCCGTCGCGCCGGAAAAGGCAGAGCAGAGGAAAAAGGAGGCGTTGCCCTCCAACAACACCATCAGCTGCAAATTTATGCAAAACAGTAAAAGCACTGGTGGTGGTGGTGCTGCTGCGGTCCTGCAAGGCGAAAGAAATAAAGAGCAGCAACAAGAAGCTCCAGCCGCCGGTGAGCCGCCGGGAGTCGTTTTGCAGCCGGTGCAGGAGGAGGCTGAGAAACCCGGACCGGTGACGGTAAGCACGGACCGAGAGCTCCGCGAACGAGCCAGACAGCAGCAGCGGCTAACGGGATGCTAGGAGGAGTAGCCACCGGTGGATCCAGTGGTAACTGGTCTGAAACATGGAGGGCAGCTAACTGTTAGCTCTCTGCAGCTCTGTGTCTGTGCTGATGCTCGCTGCTGGAGAGGAAGGCTGAAGCTAGCAGAGCTGGGACAGGATGGTGTGTGTGTGTGTGTGTGTGTGTGTGTGTGTCTGGAGGAGGGGGGTAATAAAGATGCTGCAGGCATTAAATTGATACACCACATCTAAATAGGCCCATACTTAGTCCACATGTTAAACTAGACAGAAGGAATAAAATAATAAAGAAGAAACAAAGAAAATTCTGTAGATGTTTTTGTAAAAATAATAAATCTGAAAGAGCTGACAGATGAAGACAGTAGAGGATGCAACTAGTCTGTATGACCTGTAGTTTGGGGGTTTAAGTGCTGATTTTAAGGGGAAAAAGATGCATTAAGAAGGACAAAGTTTGAAGTCAGTATTGTTCACAATTATGATTATTTAGTTGATTATTTAATGTATTTGTTCTTGTTCAAATCCAATTGCAGCTCCAGACGTCTGGGAGCAAGGAAAGGGTTTTATCTCTGCTTTATCATCTGCTGCGGTGCGTTCATGTGCAGTTTTAAAAACTTAAAAAATACATAAGGTTGATTTATCAGCTAATGTTTACTAATCAAAGACATATCAATGTTGGCATATATGTCAGCCAAAAACTCAGTGATTAATCGATTGTCACATCAGTTAATCACCAACTATTCTGATCGATTAATCATATGAATATTTTTTTAAGGAAAAAACGTCAAAATTCTTTGATTCAAGTTCCTTAAATTTGATTATTTTCTGTCTTCTTTACTGCTCTAAGACAGCTAACTGGACATGTTTGGGTTGTGGATAAATCAAGACATTTGAGGGACATCATCTTGGGCTTTGGGAAACACTGACTGACATTTTATAGACCAAAAAAACTAACTGATTAATTTAAAAAATAATTGACAGATTAATTGACAATAAAAAGTATCAATAGTTGCAGTCTTAGTAGTGTTGTCACAATACTGGAGTGTCTAAATCAGATACAGTAATTTTGAAAATGGTGATTTTCAGTACCATTTTCCATACAGTGGAAAGAAAAATTGACATTGAGGATGTAAAAAATTTAAATTGTTATTCAAAAATCCATAACAATGACACCTTTTCTGTTCTTGGTTAGTAGCAGAGAGAAGCAGAATGACCTTAGTAACATTAACAATAAGAGAGAGAGGGAGAAAGTGCAGCTGATACAGGTGTATTGATACAACCGTTTCAAATATTCAGAATTGATACTTAGCCATAGATAGATATTTTTGGCAACACAAGCTCCAGTACAGAAATGTTGGACATATGTTTGTGGTAATTTCAAAAAAGTGTCGTTATTAGGCTACATGGTTTTTTTTTCTGCACAATGCTGACAAGCCTCTTTTTTCTGTTGTAAAATGTCTCATTTATCAGTACTTCATTAAATATTTAGATCATTGTCAAAGATTTTTTTCTGGATTTATTTGTGTCCAAAAAGCTAATGTTACACAATATATCATAGAAATTTTCAGAACTCTAAAATATTGATATTGGTATCAAGCTGAACATTCCTGTACGGCTATATTGGGGAAAAAATCCCTTATAATAAACCTCATCACCTCACTTTAGTTTGAATCATTACTGTATAATTGTAGTATACTTTGATATTATAGAGACAAATCTGTCCCAACACTAATGACAAATGTAGACATGATAATGTTGACATAATACACAAATAAAAACTTAGAAGTGTAAATGATCAACTTGAATTTGGAATCCTCCTGATTAATGTCTGTGAAGTTGTGGAAATATTAACAGATGCCTGGCGTGGATTTATTGACATTTTGTGTGTGTTTCATGTGAATTTACACACACACATCACTTATTTCCACAAATGACTGATGGCTTTCCAGTGCATTTATTCTTATGTTAAATTGTTATGGACATTGTATAATCTGCCGAGATTTTATTTTGTTCGATTCTGCTTTTTATTTGTAATTTAACTTTTTATTTGAAATCATTTCCTTGTTCATATGCAGTGGGTAACCATGCATAGTCTTTTCTATAAGACAACAGTTGTTTGTAAGACACTGAATTATTTAGATGTCAGGCGGAAACATCAGTCTCAAAGTGTTCATATCAGTGGGACCAGGAGGGCTGGTGTATATCAGTCAGTGTTAACGTCAGCCCCACAGTGAGGTATTGAGTCAGTGCTGCTCAGCGTCTCTCCTCTGTGAAGAGCAGTGTTTGTCAGAAACACTGACAGCTGTTTTTTCATCAGCTGGGCTCTCACAGAGAAACTGCAGTGTGTCTGTTTGTTTGTGTCAGTGTTTGACTGATGGACGGCTCCTATGTCTCCTCAGCAGCCATGGAGACGGACGGAGAGCAGAACCAGCAGGGGGCCTCCACCAATGGGAGTGCTGCATCCGGAACGAGCTCCCGCCCCTCTCCGATGAATTCCATGTCTCTGTATGAAAGACAGGCAGTGCAGGTAGGTGTGTGTGTGTGTGTGTGTGTGTGTGTGTGTGACCTGTCAAATGCTTTGTTTATCATTTACAGGCTTACACTGTCCTGATTGTTTTTTTTTTCTTTGACAACAGTGTCAAAAAGGTTGAAGCCCCTCAGTGCCAATATTTATATTATATTTACAGTACGTGACTGTGATTGAGTGATAGTTTATCCTAAAAGATTCTCTCAAGTTCACAGTTTACAGCAAAGGTATTGAATCCAAGAAACTATAACAGTTTTGACAACACATAAAACAATAAATGTTCTGTCTTTTGTTTTTCTTTTAATTTCGGTGTCTTTCGGTGCCCCAGAAGACACCCTTCTGCTCCGCCCCTGGTGTGGCAGCTGCTTGTTTTACCTACAGGGTAGATACTGCAGTTTTTGTGGTTGGTTTTACTGCACCTTTAAATGCTGAGCAGTTATTCAGCTCTTTGTGTTTTACCGACACTACAAAAGTCTGTGTAAACCTCAACCTTTTTTTTCTATGTACTTTTAATTATCCATGCCATGTTTTGCCCTCTCCTGACCGTGCGTCTCTTTCACCGAGAGGATGATGGTCCAGTAGCAAAGCTGAGAGGCGAAATTGAGGTTTATTAACAAATGAAAAAAAATAAAGTTCATATTTCTGGACGTTAAAGAAGATATTTGTAACATTCTAGATGGAACAAGACAACAGGTCAGCTGTCTGCCTGGGAACCAGTGCGCACATAACCATGTGATACAGGTCTCGATTTTTAAAATGGCTGCTCACATAGATTTGTCACAAGAAAATTAGTTTATTTGTTGATTCCTAATAGCAAAATCTGGTTAGCGTGGTTTTAGGTAATAATCTTTCACAGGAGCTTTGTTTTAGGGATAGACCGATATGGATTTTTTAGGGCCGATGCCGATACCGATTTTTTTCCATCACCCTTAGCCGATGACCGATTATGGACTGCTGATTTTCTTGAGCCGATATTTGGGGCCGATACTGTTTAACAGTTAGAGGCTTTGAAAGTTTAAAACTTACCGTTGTCCTGAAGCAGCTTCCAGGGCTGCTTTCACCACTCTACCAGTGGGGGAGGGGTAACGCTGCATGTGCGCTGCAGGGTCTTCCGGCAACACAGAGCTGCCCGTGGATGCCTGTCTGTAAATCATGCCAGGGAAAAATAAATCCGCGAACCCACGCGCGTATCGGCTGATGCCGATACAAGTAAAAAACTCAAATATCGGCCCGATATATCGGCTGGCCGATGTATTGGTCTATCCTTACTTTGTTTGGTGTAAAGCAAAGAAGGATGCACTTGTTTGTCTTCATACTTTATGATTTATATGTAAGCCGATGGAGAGAAGGTGATGGAGAGTGACTGAAACAGGGTGGTGAAGAGAGGGATTGAGTTGTGCTGGTTTGATGGAGGCACTGTGTTATTTTCCCAGGCTTCTGTCACCCTGCACAGCCATCTGTCTTTGTCACCCTGCACACACTAATCCAGCCCGCCGCGCTCGCTTTCATCTCTCAACTTATTACAGTACAAGCCTCTGCTCATACATCAGGCAGCTGGCAGGAGGCTTTACACTCTGCATCCCTCCCTGTCTGCCCCTGTTTCTCCTACTCCGCTCCTCTCATTTTTCATGGCACTGTACTTCCTTTCTCTTCTAAGTCTTCACATTTTTCTCATTTCTCCTCTAGCTGTGTGCTGTCATCGTCTCCATCTCCCTTTCTCTGTCATCATCCTTCAGTACATCTTTCTTGTCTCCTCTCTGTCTCTTCCTCGTGTCCTTCTTTCTCCATCTTTTCTCATCTTTTTTCTTTATCTCTTTCTCTGTTTGCTGTCACTTGATTGCTCATTTGTCTGCTCTCCTCCTCCCTCCAGGCCCTGCAGGCGTTACAGAGGCAGCCTAATGCAGCTCAGTACTTCCAGCAGCTGATGCTGCAGCAGCAGATCAACAACGCCCAGCTGCAGAACCTAGCAGCTGTGCAACAGGTAAAGGTGTGTGTAGGCTATATAATTTATATTTTTGCTGAAAAATATTTACAATACTGTGCCAAGTCATTTTTATAAGGCAAGACAGAGACATATTTGTTTTTAGAGAAAGTATGAATGGAAAAATCAGGAATCACAGAACAAAATAAAACGGCAACATCCTAAGGCTGCATTCACACCAAATCAGATGCAAGTTTTTCCATTGATGTGAATATAGGTAGAACATCTAGGCTGTGGCAGTGGGGTCTCAAGGGATGCTCCTAAAACACACAGTGGTTTGCTGTGAAAAGTTGAAGCAGTGTCCTCTTGGAGAAAGGCAACCAGACGTCACACTGCAGTGGCCAATCACTAGGCCTGTATCAATAGTTACTTTAGTTGGATGATATATTGTGCAAGGTTTAATTGTGATAAACATGGTTATTGTTATTTTAAGACCATTTTATGCCACTGATATAATGGTGATATAATAGCATAACAATGCAAGTACACCCTTGCAAAGAGCAATCAACTCTTACTTTTTGAAAATATTCAGACATCGGAATATAAAATATATATTTTGAATATTTTCAACACCCTTTTCATATATACAAGGATGTACAGTACAGGCCAAAAGTTTGGACACACCTTCTCATTCAATGCGTTTTCTTTATTTTCATGACTATTTACATTTTAGATTCTCACTGAAGGCATCAAAACTATGAACTGAAAACATGTTTTATATTCTAGTTTCTTCAAAATAGCCACCCTTTGCTCTGATTACTGCTTTGCACACTCTTGGCATTCTCTCCATGAGCTTCAAGAGGTAGTCACCTGAAATGGTTTTCCAACAGTCTTGAAGGAGTTCCCAGAGGTGTTTAGCACTTGTTGGCCCCTTTGCCTTCACTCTGCGGTCCAGCTCACCCCAAACCATCAGCAAAACACCCCCACACCATCACACCTCCTCCTCCATGCTTCACAGTGGGAACCAGGCATGTGGAATCCATCCGTTCACCTTTTCTGCGTCTCACAAAGACACGGCGGTTGGAACCAAAGATCTCAAATTTGGACTCATCAGACCAAAGCACAGATTTCCACTGGTCTAATGTCCATTCCTTGTGTTTCTTGGCCCAAACAAATCTCTTCTGCTTGTTGCCTCTCCTTAGCAGTGGTTTCCTAGCAGCTATTTGACCATGAAGGCCTGATTCACGCAGTCTCCTCTTAACAGTTGTTCTAGAGATGGGTCTGCTGCTACAACTCTGTGTGGCATTCATCTGGTCTCTGATCTGAGCTGCTGTTAACTTGCGATTTCTGAGGCTGGTGACTCGGATGAACTTATCCTCAGAAGCAGAGGTGACTCTTGGTCTTCCTTTCCTGGGTCGGTCCTCATGTGTGCCAGTTTCGTTGTAGCGCTTGATGGTTTTTGCGACTCCACTTGGGGACACATTTAAAGTTTTTGCAATTTTCCGGACTGACTGACCTTCATTTCTTAAAGTAATGATGGCCACTGGTTTTTCTTTAGTTAGCTGATTGGTTCTTGCCATAATATGAATTTTAACAGTTGTCCAATAGGGCTGTCGGCTGTGTATTAACCTGACTTCTGCACAACACAACTGATGGTCCCAACCCCATTGATAAAGCAAGAAATTCCACTAATTAACCCTGATAAGGCACACCTGTGAAGTGGAAACCATTTCAGGTGACTACCTCTTGAAGCTCATGGAGAGAATGCCAAGAGTGTGCAAAGCAGTAATCAGAGCAAAGGGTGGCTATTTTGAAGAAACTAGAATATAAAACATGTTTTCAGTTATTTCACCTTTTTTTGTTAAGTACATAACTCCACATGTGTTCATTCATAGTTTTGATGCCTTCAGTGAGAATCTACAATGTAAATAGTCATGAAAATAAAGAAAACGCATTGAATGAGAAGGTGTGTCCAAACTTTTGGCCTGTACTGTATATATTAAATCATAGTAACTTTATAGGAGTAGCCCAAAACCGCTCAGTCCAAGGGAACGATTAATATAGTCTCTTTCTATCATTAATATTAAAGTGAGTAAAAGAAAGTAGTGATGGCCAAATGAAGCCTCGTGAAGCATTTTCTTTATTTTGTAAGCCCACTAGATGGCGCTCTTTTTCAACAAAAGGTTGAAAGCACATTGAATTGCCATTCTTTGAGCCTCTCTCTTTAAACCAAGAGTGCCATCTAGTGGGCTCATAAAATAAAGAAAATGCTTCATGAGGCTTCATTTGGCCATCACTAAAAGAAAGAGTATATATCAATAGCTTATGTGTACTACTTTACAAAGGAGAGCGCTCACTTTGTTTGTGTTCCTGCATGTGTGTCTCTTGTGGCAGTAAAGATACTGTAATTATAATCAAAAGGAATTCTAGAGATCTTTTAAGCCAGCATAAACAGATATACTAAACACAAATAGTTGCTGAGATGGAGATATTGGCTTTCTATAGTTGTCTCCACTTCCACTCCCCCAAAAATTTTAAGCCACGCCTGATTTGTTGTGTACAGCCGTATAAACCAGGTTAACAGTTTGCACACAAAAAAAAGCATATTTGCTTTGTTCCCACAGTCAAAACAGGATGTTTGGCCCAAAACACAGAGCCACGTTTGGCTGCGATTACAGCAGTGCACTACTAACTGATTGCTTGCACCTCAGCTCATAAGCTCCTCCAGCAGCTTGGAGTTGTTCTCAGTATATTGGACTCACAATGATTCATTCAACAGTCTCTGCAAACATCCCACTTTTGATTTTGTTTGGAGTAGACTGAAACCTAAATCTCCTCTCTTCCTCTTCCTCCCAGGCTACTCTGGCTGCTAGTCGTCAGTCGAGTCCTTCCAGCAGCAGCTCCTCTCAAACCACCAGCACCACAGCTGTATGTTCTCATTTCGCTCTATGTCACTTACAGAGCCAAGAAAACTTGGTATCACTGAAACGTTTTCTCCTGATTGAAGCCGTTTTAAGTAGTGGATAAAAAATGCATAAGTTCTCCACATTAAAGTCACTCATTATCATTTGACAGGCCAGTGTAACATCTGGATCGGGATCCTCAACCAGCAGCCGTCCTATTGGCGCCCCGGCAACGTCCACAATCAGCCAGTCAGTGCTGCTGAGTGGGACGGCAGGCGGGCAGGGACAAATGTACCTGAGGGTAAGTTTCACCATAGCTTTGCACCATTGTCATGAATCACTTTTAATCATCATCAGGTCATCGTCATGCCAAAATGTGAGGTAGTTCGCATTATAGTATATAGCAGCTCCATAAAGAAGACTCATGAGAAGCAGTATGAGTTAATTAAATGTGCGTCCTCTGTCAGGGTCACACCAGCGTGCCGACACCCATCTTATACTCGAGCTTATACTATTGGCTCAGTTTCTGTGAGTTTTTATTGGCCGTCCTGTTGTCCTGCAGGTCAACCGCTCCCTGAGGGCCCCCATCTCCTCCCAGCTCATCTTTATGCCTGGCAACACAGCAACTGCTGCCGTAGCAACTGTCACCCAGCAGCCACAGGCTCAGCAACAGCAACAGGAAGTGACGCCAACTTCAACTTCCAGCAGCCAATCAGATAACGACCAGGTTTGTGTAATTAATGTGTTGATGACACTATGGGGAGAACTGGATACAGCGTTGGAGGCAGGGCCCCGTTCATTTCTATGAAAGTTGCTCAGTGGCACATGAAGCAAAAATGTTCAACTTCTTGGGTGTAAAATTACCTGAATCGTCCACATCATTGGTCCTATGTGGCAGGTGCACTAGAGACTTCCTCTTTCCCAATCTAAGTCTATGGGAAAAAGTCCTTTTTGGCCCAGTGGCATCACGCAACAGAACAGGATGTTGTAGTGAAGGGCCTGGTTTATGATTTAAGGAGAGTACCAACCTTGTGTCTTTTCGTGTAACTGATTCCTCACCACAGATTACCCCTTTTTTTTTCTTCCCTTTTTATGTCCAGGTGCAGAATCTAGCCATGCGAGGCGTATCCAGTCCCAAAGGCTTTGGTGTGAAGACTGAAGCCCCAGAGAGGAGTGACTCAGGTAAGGAGCAAAGGAAAGGCAACCTAAATACTGCCTCTGTTTGCTAATAGGTTTGCTGTATCAGTGGTTCCCAACTGGTCCAGCCACAGGGTCGAGAATCATCCTTTGTCATTAGTTCACAGTTTTATTAGTAAGTTTTAAAGTATTCAGCATCATACTTGTGTTCGGCCATGTCATCAAGCTAGTTTGCTGTCTCCGTTAAGTATCTGTCTGCTATTCACTCACTCTCCAGCAGGAAACGGCTCTTTAAAATAAAAGCTCTGTGCCAGAGTGTGATATCGGCCGTAGAGACGTCTGTCTCCTCTCCAATATAATGGAACTAATGCAGGAGTTGGTAGTAATGCATTTTAAGTAATGCACACAAGTAAAATGAGCATAAAATATTTTTTAGGAATGAGTACTTACCATATTCCTTTTTAAAATGGTGCTCTTTACTCCTGTATATTTTTGAGCCAGTAAACCACTTCTGCTTTGCTTCAATTGCCGTTTATACCTTCTCTACAACTCGTCTGCTCTACATGTGGGGATGGAGTGTAGTTGACAGCTGGCTGGAAGAAAAAGAAGCACCACATGTCTTTTGACCATGATGCAATGATGATGAAGCAAAAAGAGCCAGAACAAGAGGCAGCTTCCAGCAACAATCCCCGACCACATCTGGTCACACTTTTTATACAAAAATCTAAAAGAAGGCAAACAGTTAGGAAGTGCTTGCCATGCCTCCTGAAGACTAAGATCACCGCTTCTAAAAACTCTAAAGTTCCGTAAGCTCATCAAACTTAAGTTGAACATGCTGTGGATGAAAAGAAGGAGAAGAAGATATACTTTGTTAATCCTCAAGGGAGAATATACACACAGATACACAAACGGGACCTATACATGCATTAAATGGAGAGATGTCAGAGCGAAGGGGCTGCCTTGGACAGGCACCCCGAGCAGCTGGAGGTTCAGTGCTTTGCTCAAGGGCACCTCAGCAGTGCCCAGGAGTCCAACTGGCACCTCTCCAGCTACCAGTCCATACTCCATGCTTGGTACGTACTGAACTGGTACGGACTGGTAATGGACTGAACTACTGCCGCCCCAATGTAATTAGAAAATGTAGGTAGCTAACTAACATAAGCAACCAGTATGTTAATTTTTCATGCATTTATCTGTAATGTTATAATAATGACTTTAATTTATCTAGTAGCAAGTGGTGCAAAAGGGTTTTTAATTCACTAAAAAAAGGTTATCAACAAGTGTTTTTGTTGTTTTGTACGGGTGTGCACACCCTAAAAAATATTAAAATGCAAAGTAACTTGTATATGGAGTAATTTATCAGCCAGATAATTTTAACTTTTTCTTAAATCATTTTTTTATGGTACTTTTACTTGAGTATAGATTTTCAATAGTCTGCCCAACACTGACTAGATGGCACTTGGCTTGTGGTGCTCACAGCGCCAAAAACATATTTCAGTCAGGAGCACCTCTGTCAAAGAAAACATTATTATTAATTTTATAATTAATTATGTTTGGCGGTATGGCGCTGTTCTGGGGCCCCTCTGCCTTTCCTCTGGCCTACGCAGAAAGCCTATACCACATGCCTACGCGGAAAGCCTAAGGCGGAGAGAGCACACCTCTCTGCCCTTCCAAGTGCAAATGAGGAAAGCCTGAGGCAGAGAGGCAAACCCCCCTGCCCTTCCATGTGCCTACATGGAAAGCTTAAGGCAGTGAGAGCAGCAGCAGCGACCCCTTGGGAACAGAACAGAGCAGCATCAATGACAGACAGGAATGACATTGATAAGTAAGACACAACATGAAAAGGAGGAGCTGGGGTGGAGGCGGGTTGCAAAGCAGCTTGCAGAGGAAGCAGCAACAGTAGGCAGGCCAGAGCAGTTTAAACAGGGTGCCTTGAATGAGATTCCCCCATTGGTTGCATATAAAGGTATCGTGCTCTATCAGCTGACTCCCTTCCATCAATCAGCTGCTCCATCAGTTGAAAGAGCTGTTTGAGATCAGCTGATATAGCTGGGACGTGAGCTGAGCTTGACCTCGTGTCCTGCCTGAGCTAACACTATGCTCAATATTTGGTGGTTAGTCATTATTATTATTTTTTCTGTCTTTTCAGCTGCTTTCCCGCTGGTCCAGCCCTCCCACCAGTCAAACTCCCAGTCCCCCACTAAGCCAAGCCAGCCGCCCCACATCAAAATCCCCACGTACCCTCAACCCACCAACCTCAAAGCCCACCCGTCCTCCTCCTCTGGTGCCTCCTCCTCTACGTCCTCCACTTCTTCCATCCCTCTCTCCCAGCTCCTACTTCACGGAACGCGGACTCTCACCACAGGAACCACAGCTCCCACTGCAGCACACACTCTGGTCCTAACGTCCAGTGCGGCATCCCAAGCCCACGGTTATCCTGTCGGCACGGCGACCATCAAACCGGCAGTCAACGCTCAGACCTTGGTGGTGCAGCCTCTGCAGAAGACCTCGCTCAGCGCAGAGAAATCTGGCCATGGCAACGGACCCATCCCCATCCAACCCAAAACTCTGCAGGGGCTTCGCCTGCCTCTCCAGCTGCCTTCTAGGAACCCCCCTCCCATCCTGCCTGCCCCGCCGCCCACCAGCAGCTCCGCCCAGCCCCCTCAGCCACCACACATCCCGGTTCAGATCGTGGGGGCGAGGCAGAGCACACTGGGAAACACCCAGGCTCTGGCTCTGGCCCGCGGCAGCTGCTGCCAGGAAGGAGCCGCCGTCCTCAGCAGCTCGTCCAGCCTGCTCACTATGGTGGCGTCCATCGCTTCCAGGGAGGGTGGAGTCGTGGGCCGAGGGGTGGGGCTAAAGACGCTTCAGTCGCCCCAGGAGGCTCCCCCCTTGGCTCAGGTCTCTCAGGTGCATCCACAGGCCAATCAGAGCTCTGGACAGAGCCAGAATGGACCCATGGCTTCGAGCCCCGCCTCCACCCAGGCCCCCACTGTTTCCTCTCCTCCCTCCTCCATGTGTCGCTCCTCCCTCTCCCTCCCCCTGGTGACAGAAGAGCAGAGAGTGTCAGCTGGTGTGACCAGCAATGGAGACTCATCAGCAAGTCAGACACCACAGGTCAGCTGATTCATACGTTGTGTGTGTGCTGTTTTCAAAACACTGTAGATGAAGTTTAATTATTTTGAATTTGAAATTTATTGATGGGGACAAGGCAATGTAACTTATTCCCAATACAGAGCATGAAACTGATGTGCTGCATAGAGTTTATAGCTATTGCTAATTTCAACTATTGTCCCCAGATGGTATTTTATATGTACCGTGTAATTAAATGGCACCAAATTAAACTAGATTAAATTAATGCACAGTTGCAGTTATGCACTTAGAGGTGGGTTTTACAAGACAGTTGTGAGCACAGGTTTATTTTTACTCCTCTAAAATGGCTTTTGGAAACAAAATGTCATCAAAGAAATAGTTTGGATCTTTTGCAGTGAGATTGTGTGAAGCCATAACCCATAGTCTGTGTAATTCATGCAGTAGATGATGCCCCCAGTTGGAGAAGCAGGCAGGAGCACTGACATAGAAGCTAAGCAGTGTACTGCTGTGGATGGGGGACAGCAGCAAAACATATTTTAGCCCCCTCAAACATGTCTCTTTTAATTAAATCAGTATCAGTTTAAGTGTACACTATATTGAGCATATTTTCCCAGCAGAGAGTGATTTCTGACAGAGAAATCAAGCCTTTAAAGCCAGACTTTGTTGAAAAAAACAGTAATTTAATGTCACTGAACATGGGAGCTGCTGGTCTACCACTGCCTCGATTGGTTAGTTATTTTGTGTTATTGTGTGATTTTGGTGAATCCTAAATGACACTTAAAATGCCAATGACGATTGAGGCTTCAGTAGAAAGCATCTCCCGAGTTCAGCAAGATTAAAATACTATTTTTCTCAATGGATTCTGTCAGCTTTGAAAGGAGTGATATTAATAGCTTCAGTGCCCCAATGGAAAGGGTGGTGGTGGCACTCCAGCCTGCTTCTCTAAACTGGGAGTGTGCTGACTAGGGATGTTCCCTGTCGACTAATTTCCTTGTCGACTAAACAATAGTTTAATTAAGACTAGTCTAACTCAAAACAGTCAAAATTTAGCACAATTTGGGTTGGCCTGTGGCTCAGTGGGTAGAGCAAGTGCTCCATGCACAAAAGGCTGTGTTCGATTCTGGCCTGCGGCCCTTTGTTGTACAGTATGTATGACATGCAGCCTCCCTCTCTCCCCCCTACACGCTTCATATCCTATCCATGAAGGTATAAAGCCCTAAAAATAATCTTAAAAAAAATAGCAAAATTTATTGTTAATTATTTGTCCCAAAAAATCAATCAATCAATCAATCAATCAATTTTATTTATAAAGCCCAATATCACAAATCACAATTTGCCTCACAGGGCTTTACAGCATACGACATCCCTCTGTCCTTTGGACCCTCACAGCGGATAAGGAAAAACTCCCCAAAAAAACTCCCTTTAATGGGGAAAGAAATAGTAGAAACCTCAGGAAGAGCAACTGAGGAGGGATCCCTCTTCCAGGACGGACAGACGTGCAATAGATGTCGTACAGAACAGATCAGCATAATAAATTAACAGTAATCCGTATGACACAATGAGACAGAGAGAGAGAGAGAGAGAGAGAGAGACAGAGAGAGAGGGATGCAGGACAGACGGTAATGACAGTAGCTTACAACAACATTAATGAAAGTAATAATATTATAATTATAGTTCTGGCTGTTGTGGTACAATATGTTGAAAGTATATATTAATATCTGATAGTATACATATGTGACAATAATCATGTGTATAATAACAGTAGAAGTATGACTAATGACTAATGATGGCAGCAGCAGCAGGAGGCATCTGGCAGGACCACGGCAGCAGCACAACCACACATGTCACGCTATCCAGGTACCGCTGCGATATGAGTTAATCTGAGAGACAGTGGAGCACAAAGGCTCCGGAGAAGAAGCCGAGTTAGTGACATCCAGAATGGCCGAGTTAGCAAGATGCAGTAACAGGACATGAGACAGAGAGAGAGAAGGAGAGAAGGTGTCCGGTGTATTATAGGGGGGTCCTCTGGCAGACTAGGCCTAAGTCAGCCTAACTAGGGGCTGGTACAGGGCAAGCCTGAGCCAGCCCTAACTATACGCTTTATCAAAGAGGAAAGTCTTAAGTCTAGTCTTAAATGTGGAGATGGTGTCTGCCTCCCGGACCGTAACAGGAAGATGATTCCACAGGAGAGGAGCCTGTGGAATGTGTTCATTAAGAGCTCTTTGAGAACATGACGGCAACTCAGTCAAAAATTAACCACTGACATAACATCTAAAATAAATAAATTGCCTCTGATATGTGGGGCACATTGAACCTTGCAGACTATCTGACAGAAATGATAGCAGTTCACTTTAAAGTTAATAAAACAATATCTAAATTATAACTGAATTGCATCTGAAATTAGGCATTTTTGCTCCGTGCAGTATGAATGTAAACCCTGCACTTAAAGTTAAAAAATAATTCAACATGTCCAAAAAATAAAATGAATTAAAAAATAAATTGCTGCTGCATTGTGAAGCGATATGCGCCATTTAATGTGAATGTAAAAGTGAACAAATAAAACAATGTGTTGAGTTGAATGTGGTTGCGCATTGCTCCAGTCAAGTGATTATATGCCAGTTTTTTCTGACACAGCCTACATGCTACCTTGTTTTCATTTTCGAGATCAAAGTGCTGCCAAACCGCACTGGCTTTGCGAGAGGACATCTCTCCATTTCCCACCGTGCTGTTTTAAAACTCCAGTCTACTCGAGCATTACTGCGGGCAGGGGGACTGCTGTCTGATGGCTCTGTAGCACCCACTAGTGGCAGGTGGCTGCATGACAGTTAAGCGGCCTTGAATAAAACACGAATTGGTTTAACTGAATAATATTTCTGGTGCAGACTAGCGAGGTGGCAGACATTAAATCGTTTAGACAACTAATCGCACGCATCCCTAGTGCCGACTGCCACCTACTTACTACCTAGGTAATAGGCTTGGGAGGTTGACATTTCCCCAGGGTTTATGGTATTTGATGGTATTTGTGTTTAAAAAAAAGCATAAAACCTGAGCCACTGGTGATAGAAGTCATTTTAGCATGTATGTCATCGTCTGCCCTATAATGCTGTGTGTTAAAGAGGCAACTGGCCTTCTTAGACAAGTCTTGCTGTGTTTAAAAATTTGTGGCCCACAGAATAATAAAAAGATAAGGAATATGTGTACTTCTTGCTGGAGGAACCAATTGCAGCAGGAGATACTGACAGTTGGAGATGATAAATGGGTGGTGGTGGCAGACTGGCATTTGAATGAAACCATGAGGGCAAAACAAACTACTTTTGATGTTGGAAGAAGTCATCTCAGGATAAAGTTATATGTGGCAATACTCCCAAACAAGGGCCCAACTTTTCCTGTAGCTGTTCTGTTGTCTTTCTATTGCTGCATCTCTTCAAACTGATTTTTCCTTTTTTTTTTTTTTTTTAGGGAAAGCAGTTGACTGGCTCACTGAAAAGAAAATCAGACTCCAATTCAGCCAATGACGAAGATGGCCCCTCCCCTCCACGGCTCCAACCAGTCAGAGATCACGCCTCAGCACTCCTGACAAATCCCATCGAAGCAGGTAACAGAAACGTGTAAATCTACAAGTCTATGAATGTGAATTTAACACTATATTTAATTTTTCTTTTTTCTCCCATTCACTTCTCTACCAGGCTCTGGTGCTCCTCCTCCAGCCTCCTCCTCTCCCTCCCCTGTGCTGTCAGTGTCCCGTGGGGTCTGCAGCCAGGGGGAGAGAGCTCCTCCCCCCCAAGCTGTGGTCAAACCGAACGTCCTCACACACCTCATAGAGGGCTTCGTCATCCAGGAAGGGGCAGAGCCTTTCCCTGTGAGTACATGGGATTCGTAGGTCCCAGTACCTCTTTTGAAGGGATAGTTTGCATTTTTTGAAGTGGGTTTGTATGAGGTACTTACTTATAGTCAGTGTCACCATGCCCCCAGTTTGGAGAAGCAGGCAAGAATACTGCCATGGAGTCTAAGCTATATACCACTTAAAAATCAATGTCAGCTTGGGTTAGGGTTAAGGGTTAGGGGTTAGGGGGTTAGGGGTTACACTACATTTTGAATATTTCACTGCTTTACCTTGCTTTCAGACAAGGAACAGAAGCAGTTATCTCAGCTCTCTCCAAGCCACCAGACTCCTTTGACAAAAACAGTAATTTTTCCCTAGCATGTCAGAGGTGTTGCTAGTCTACTGCTGCCTCGAATGGTCAGTTTGTTCATATTATTGTGTGACTGTTGTTTTAAAGGGGTAGTTCAGATTCAACAAAGTCACAAACAAACTAACTGATCTAGGCAGTGGTAGACCAGCAGCTCCTGTGTTCTGCAAGGTACAATTACTGTTTTTGTCAAAGGAGTCTGGTTCCCTGTCTGAAAAGGGCTGTCTGATGGAAAGGTTGTGAAAATATGTTAAACATAGGGTTGCTTAAACTGATAGTGATTTTTTCAGTTGGCAAATATACATTTTGCTGCCGTTGCCACCTACAGCAGTATATTGCTTAGCTTCCATGGCAGTACCCCTGTCTGCTTCTTCAAACTGGGGAAGTGTGGACCATCTACTGTAGGTAATATACGATAGTTAAGTACCTCATACAACCCAATTTCCAAAGACCCAAACTATCTCTTTAACATTACAACTGAAAGCCCAAGACTCATACATGGCACTGACACCCAGTCTTTTATTTATTGCTTCTTGTGTTTGATTGACAGGTATGTGGTTCATTAAAGGACTCGGCTGGCGAGGATTTAACCAATGACAGTCCGGACACTAACCAATCAGAGACTCTTACAACAGCGACAGGTAACCGCCAAACTGCTCTGAAAGTACTGCTGCTTTCTACAAGAATATTACCTTATAAGGGCAAGTTCGTTTGACAACAGTACTTAAAAGTATTTACATCCTCGAAATACACAGAAATTCGATTTTTAGTGTCATGTGACTACAATATTTCAAAACAGGTTTGTAGTTAAAGGTTAAAGGGTAACTTTGTTATTTTTCAACCTGGACCCTATTTTCCCATGTTTTTGTGCCTAAGTAAGTAATGTGAACAATTTTGGAACTGGTCCAGTATTAAGCAAGACCATTGCAGTTGGCAGCACAAACACATGGGAGAATACGGTCCAGCTTGGAAAATACCAAAGATACCCTTTAAGGACATCAATTGTAGGTGCTATGTGCACGTAAAGGTTAGCTGTCCTTGCTACTTTGCTAGTTAACCTTGACAAAATAATTAACACAACATGGACACATGGAGGGCAGGATTTTACACTGTGCAACAAACTGATTCTCGTCTGAACCTTGTTTGTCCGAGCTGGGCCACAGGAACGCACAGAGGTTTTAATTACAGCCTTTGAGCTGGGAGTTTCCCACCTCTGACTTAAAGTGGAAGCAACAGAACAGCACTGTGAAATGTCATTACAGTCGCCTTTTTTCAGTGCGGTAGGATGGTGTAGAATAAGGAAAATAGGTTTTGTGTGCTTCTCTGGATTTTCTAATATAACATCAAGTAGTGCACACGTGTATTTATGTACAAATCATAGAAATGATATATTTACCGTCTGCTTTGTTTTTCTTTTTTTCCAAACTCTCCCCCCAGTGCTGAAGTGTGAGTACTGTAAAAACTTTGCTCCTGCCAGCCAGTTCAGAGGCACCAAAAGGTTCTGCTCCATGACTTGTGCCAAGAGGTACTTCAACATGCATGAAATATAATATATGCAGTGGGAGCCATCTCAGAAAAAAGCTGTACTGCTGAGATTGAGAAAATGGAGTGTAGATTCTCAGGTGGCTGCAGCTGTATATTTCACAGCATGTATGTTTCTGTTCTTATGTTTTATTCTTATGTTTAAAATCTGTGATACACCTCATCCACTCTCTCTACAGTAATGGCATGTGAACACATGATTGTTTTCACGTCACACTGCAGTTCAATCCAGTTTATTTTTTGTCTCTTTTGAATTTGCTCCATGTTAAAATGTATGTATTATGTTGTATATGTTCCACCGTGTAAACAATGCACTGTCTGCATTGTTTTGAATTTTACATTTTCTGCTTCTGCTTTGCATTTGTCTCTTTGCCCACTACCTGTGTATGCATTATATACCGCGTATGGTGCAAAGAGATGAAAACTGTATGTGTTGCTCGTCTTGGCTTCAGTACCGTATATGTCACTCTTTGTCTACGATACAGTATGTATTGGTTCCCCAGGTACAACGTCAGCTTCAGGCAGCACTTCTGCATGCGGCAGAGTCAAGGTCAAGGTCAAGATCACACTCCAGATCAGGATCAAGGCCCGGGTCACCTCTCCAACTCAGATGAGGAGGGAGGAATTACAAGGCGGAGGGTTCCCCGCAGGACCAGCTCAGAAATAGCCAGTGCCAAGATAGCTGGGAGACCCATACCTGTCAAGGTGAGAAGGAGCCGCACATTTTATGCATTTACATGGAGCTAAAGAAACCGTAGAAAATTAATTTCTTTCTTTTTTAATATGTTTGTATGCCTATGTGCCGGCGATAGCTGTGGCCGAAGGCATTATCTTTTGGTTTGTTCGTCTGTTCATCCTATTCTCGTGAACAGGATCTCAAGAACATCTTGACAGAATTTCTTCAGATTTGACACAAACATCCACATAGGATGAGCTGATTAGATTTTGTTGGTCAAAGGTCAAGGTTACTGTGACCTGATTTGTCCCATTCTTGTAAGCGCGACATCTTGAGAATACTGAAAGCAGAATTTCTTCAAATTTGGCCCAAAAGTCCACATGGACTTACAGATGAACTGATAAGATTTTTGTGGTTAAAGGTCAAGGTGACTGTGACCTGGTCCATCCCATTCTTGGGAAAAACAACTTAAAGAATGTCTTGACAGAATATTTTAATGGTCAAAGGTCAAGGGCAATGTGACCTTACGAAACATGTTCTTAGCCATAATTCAAGAATTCACATGCTAATTAACAATATTTGACACAAATGTCTAACAGGATAAAATTATGTGATGGCATTTTATATCCAAAAGGTCAAAGGTCAGCTTCACTGTGACATCATAATGTTCTGCAAAAACACTGACTCAGGAACAAAAGGGGAGACATATGGTCAGATACTGAATTGGTGACACTAATCTTGGGTGTCCATCTTAAAACTGTGTTGATTGTACAGATCTTCTATGCTGACTGGTTATATATGAAGCCGTATTTGAATTTTTGTCAACTGTCATGGCTACTCATGTCATTGCTAGTCTGGACAGACAGTATGTGTTACTGTGTGATTTTTGTGTATCCAAACTAACCCCTTTAAACGCCAAAGTCACACAATGATACAAACAAGCTGATTGAGGCAGCAGTAGACCAGCAGCTTCTGTGTTCAGCGAGGTTAAAGGTATACAAAGCAGGAATTTTATAAAAAACAAAGACTTATACAGAAGTAATCTCTCTGAATCATCACTTACGACCCACTAGAAGACAGTGATGCATTTTTTAGCTGAGACTCCACCCTCTATTTTCTTATATTCTTCTCATTTTCTGTGATCAGTAATTTAGGGGCGTTATCCCACAGCAACCAGGTGAGGTCAGAGCTTCAAGGTTCAAGGTTCAAGGTTTCTTTATTAATACCGGCTGGTAAATTTGTTGTGCAGACAGGCACTCGGCGATGCCAGTATAAAAAACATTCACACCCAGACATCATGACAGACAAATCACAAATAGAAAAACACAATATAATTAAAATACATGGTCATAGTCATAGAAATAGAAGTAAAAAAGTGCTTCTACATAGAAAAGTGCTTCTAGATGTCCCTGGGGCCAACTAAATTCATAAAAAGCTAGCAATCGGTTGTCAGACCATAAGCAGCAGGCATAGTGTCAAAAAAATGCAAATATAGCCAGGCGAAACCAAGAATGCTGCATAGTATCCCTTTAAATCACTGTTTCTGTCAATGGAGTCAGACTTTAAAGACAGAGTGATATAACAGCCTCAGTGAAGTGGTGAAAATATGCTGATCACAGCAGAACATCTCACCTGCTTCTCCAAACTAGAGACGTGCCGACTGACATCTACTGTATGTAATACACTCATTATGGTTAAATACCTCATACAACTCCACTTTAAAATTTAACTATCCCTTTAAGCCTGTTTGCCCCGTGTGGCTGCAAGCAGGAACTGCAAGCTTTAAAAAACAAATCACCCCATTAAGAATCATTCTCTCTGTGATGTTGCCAAACTCTTTTGTGGGCTTTATTTCTATGATGGAGCTTTTCATTTTCATTTTATATAATAATAATGTTGCTTGGCACAGCTTCAAACTTTACATGTAATCACACACAGTCAGACTGGGAAACAACCCAGTGCAACCACAGGGCTTCTACTGTCAACCACTGAGCCATTTTATAAACCTTGCTCACGCGTTCCTCTGCTTCTCCTCCCCGCAGTGCCGTTCAGAGTCCAGCCATTCGGACGAGGAGTCCAGTGGAGAGGAGGATGAAGATGACCCCATGTCCCTCTCGCCTGCCTCCTCAGCCTCCTGCCACCAGCCGCCTCCTCCGCTCCCAACGGAGAGTTCTGCACCCAGCTGCCTGCCTGCTAGCCCTGCACAGTGGAGCGTGGAGGACGTGTCACAGTTTATTTCCTCACTACAAGGTTGGAAGATCTTTACGGCAAAATACTGATACTGATCTGTTTTGTGTGCGTGTTGCACATTATCCATTCTTCATTGCTCTTCTTGTCTTCCTGTCTGTTTTCAGTGTTGTCCTCCTTCCCCATTTTTCTTTGTTTCCTTATATTCTTCATCCTCCTCTCCGCAGGCTGTGAGGAGCTGGCCTCCCAGTTCCTGTCGCAGGAGATCGACGGACAGGCCCTGCTGCTGCTGAAGGAGGAGCATCTCATGTCCACCATGAACATCAAGCTCGGTCCTGCCCTCAAGATCTGCGCCCACATTAACAACCTGAGAGACTGATGATGTCAATGTTTCCATAAATGTTCAAAGTCAAGCCCTGGGCATTTACCCCAAACTCCTGTTCCACACCCAGTTCAGATATGGAACTGGTTCCAGAGCAGTCAGAGTCCTGGACATGTATGTAGGAGGTACAGTTCACTTTCAAAACCCAGCCAAGGCTCTTTAGCTCTAAGTATGGCTGCAGCACTTGAATCTGTCCTTGGTTTGTCCAATTCGGAGCACACTTTCAAATATCGTATTTGCACAGGAGTGTTGTTAATCTGTCATGTCTGTGAGTTGCAAAATTTCTACAGATTACCAACTATATTTTGGTGAAGATACGTGTTCCCTGAAATGCTATCTCTGTGCAATCAGTACTTGCAGTTTAGAACTAGTTATTACCAAGTGGTTTCATTTTGCTCTCTACGCCCAAGATACACTAGAAACCTTTTAAGAGACTAAAGTCTCACATCCTCTCACATCTAAAGACAATGTGAGTTTTATGTCACACACTTTTCACAAAGACTGGGGATCTTGCAGGCTCACTTCTTGCAAGACTTCAACTAAATTCCTTTTGAGATTATTTCCTATCCTGCTCCTGGTGGAAAATCTTATGCCAAACTCTTTAAAAAATATGACTTACAATTCCTCACGTCTGCAAAACATATAACTCTAGAAACACAAGATAAAAGGTGCCATATGTAGACAGTATTGTTGTCAATTCAGCATTAATATAACCCATATGGATAAATTATATTTGCACACATACTTTACATTTTGGATTGTGTCACCTCCACTCGCTACCAGCCTCCGTTGGTTAGTTGTGCTGTTTTAGTTGGAGGAGACTGTGGGAATGAGAGGAGAGCTGCTTCAGAAATTAAAATTTCTCATTATAATGAGTGTTGATTGGAGGATGAGGTACACGTTGAATTAATCTTGTTTACTTGACAACTCCACCAGATTCTCCCCCTTTTTCCACAGTCTAAGAGAGACCCGAGACTTGTTCATGTTCTTGCACCTCCTGATGTCCCTTCCATTTTTACTGTCCACTAAGTTTTCTTCTTCCTGTTTGGTGCTGGAGAGAGCGCAGCTGTTAGTTGCTGCTAGACTCCCCTCATTGAACGTCAGTGCTTGCATAAGCCAAGACTAAAAACTTAGGATAACATTAAACATGTTTGATTTTATTGAAATGTCAAGACAAGAAAAAGGCTGACTAAAGACAGATCGGACTGAGTTTTATGACCACCTTACACCAAGCGATAGAGATCACAGTAGTGCGCACCAACTGAATTAAAGCTCACATGATTTAATCCTGACATTGGAAAATTTTCGGCAACAGTGAAGTAGCTTGAAAAGCAGTTTGGTGTAAGGCTGGCATAAGATGCACAATTTCAGTCATGTCTTTCAGTTACGTCTGCATTCAGAAATGTAAAAATTACAGTTTTGAATGTATTTTTAATGCAGAAGTCACTTGTATTGTGTCATCAGCATAAAAACTCATATTTGTACAAGATTCCCACGTTGTAAAAATAGGGCTGCCCTTTCTACAGACTTTGACCCAGGCTGTGCTTATCTTGATTCCATTTTTGCCAAATTTTATGTTCTGCTAAAGTTCAACAAAACATTGAACACATTAGTGTTCGTTCTGTGTACTATATTGTACAGGACAAGAATTTCCAGAGATTTGCCCACTTTTTACTCTTTGAAATAAATTTAGGATTCTTTTTCTCTCATTTAGACAAACACTCCTGGCTTCTTCCTAAAATGTGTTGTTGATTACAACCCTTCTCTTTTGTTTAAGCCACAATCAGCATGGCATAAAGTCAGAAATACTGGAAAGAAATTCCAATTAAAATCTCCTCCCTATACTTATGTATCCATTGATTACGACTATAATTGATTTTATTTCCAAGTACTTTTGAAAGTGAAGAACTTAGATGATTTCTAACTTATTATGTAAAAACTAGCATTTTCAAAATAATGGTCTCTTTGTAAGAATGGACACTTTTATTTTGGAAGATGCCTATTCTACAGTTTACAGGGTACACTTAAAAATACAGGGTACTGGCTGAGTCCAAATGAAACCTAAATCCCTTTCAAGTGAGGCAAAAAAATAGTGATGCTGCTTATAGTTTTCTCACATCCTAACCCAGTTTTTACAGACAGAGCACATTGACAGTTGACAAAACACTACTGCAAAATGTGTTTTAACATAAAGAGTTTTTCACTCAGTGTTTCTAGGGGATCCAGCTGTTTTAAGTTGTTTTTAAAAGGACTTGTTGACTCTTAAAAAGGATTGTAATCTGCAAATTCTGTGACTATTGTGTTCTGTCAGGCACTTTCAGGATTGACACTTTTTTCAAATGGTACAGCTGCTCCTGATCTATATGAAAGTATGTGTGTGAGTAAAGGGTAACGTCATGGGCTTGATTTTGTGAAATGGCATAAAGTTTAAAGATCCAGTGTGTAGTACTTAGGAGCATCTTTTGGCAGAGTTCGAATATAATATTCATAACTTTCATTAGTGTCTCCCAAAACTAAGATTCGTGTTTTTGTTAATTTAGAATGAGTCATTCATATCTACATACAGAGCGGTCCTCTTCCACAGAGTCTGCCATGTTGTTTCTACAGTAGCCCAGAAGAGACAAACCAAACACTGACATTGGAACGTTTTTGTGTTGGCCACTATAGTTCTCCTACACACAGGTGAAGTTTCAGTTGGTTGCTGTTTGCAACCTCACCACTAGATGTCACTAAATCCTACACATTAAGACCTTATAAAGAAATGCTGGAGGAAATGTGGAGAAACTTAAGAATGAAAGTGAGCAGCAAATGTAAGCTGTTAATTTGAAGTATCTTTAAGCTACATTCATGAACAAAGCTAGAGGGTTCGTAAAGAAAAAAACGGCTGGTAGCCACATGTGGACCTACGTCTAGGATGGATGACAAAAAAAAACCATATCTGAATGAATGAGTGTGTGAATGAATGAGGAAAAACTTAAACTATACTGTAATAAGTGTAAAATTTGCCTTTATATTTAAATGCACATTTGTTTGCTGGACTGCCTTGTTTAAGCTTTTTACTGTAGGAGTTTTCTCATGTTATCTCTCTGTGAACCTTGTGGCCTTTCTCACTAGTCTCTACAGTAGGTTTAGATAAGGATCGTCTGTTTTTTAACTGCTTTTCATATCATTCCTTGTTTTATATTAGTGCTTACTTTTTTACTATTGTTATTTCAAGCAATGACATCCGTTGCCTTTCCCAAAAAGCGTGACTCAATAGTAGCGACCTTGATCAAGGAATCTTGCCGTCTTCCTCATAGCTTTGTCACATAGCGTGTAACTACCAACAGTATTTACCTTTCTAGCTAGCTACCTTTGGCTTTATTGTTAGTGACTGTGGCTATTACAGTATTTTCTTTCAAAAAGGATAATAATCTTTGATAGCTGTGTGTTTTATATTTCATAGCGGTCCCCGGATTTTGAAGTGTTTAAATCAGCAGATCCCTAGGCATATTGTGAAGACCAAAAACTAGCACTTGTGCTGCGTTACAAGTGATGCGAGCCACAATTTCTTAGTTAAATGCAGGTCTGCACACATCTTACACAAAATTGTTAACAAGCAGACCATTGCAACTTTCTTTCATCTTTCTCTTAAAAAGTAGCACTTTTCCCACAAAATGACTGTGGGTTCTGCAAAAGGCCTTTTTTTTAATATAAGGAGGCTACTTAAGGATCAAGATGTGTGTGCTTGCAATTATCAAAAAAACTGCAAAATCTTAGAGGGACTGAGTTTGACAAGGAGACGCTAACAATACTATCATGCAAATAAATAATCAAGGAACTGTTTTAAAACTGTGATGCCTTTGTTTTTATTTTTAAAATGGAACTGAACTGATCATGAGGGATGATTGACTCTTCTATAATGTTTTTATTCTCTACCTGCACAACGTAGTGTGACGTATATCCATTTTATGAACCTCAGATTTATCTACTTCCTGTCAGCTTTACCTTAGCCTCCAACCTTAGTGACTGAAGTCTTTTTTCATCCTTAAAGGGATAGTTTGGATTTTTCAAAGTGGAGTTATATGTGGTCCTTATCCGTAGTCAGTGTTTTATCTACAGTAGATGTCAGTCGGCATGCCCCCAGTTTGGAGAAGCAACCTGGAGTCCTAACAGAAGCAAAGCAGTATGGATTGGGGTCAGCAACAAAAGGTATTTTAGCCACCAAAAAAAGTTCAAATAAACAGAAGAAATCTGAAAAGTGAATAACCTCCTAAGCCCTATGATAAGCTATTATGGCAAGGCTTAACTATACAGACCAGTGAGCAGTGATAACTAACACGTCTTTGGGGTCATCGGGTGGGAACCTCCTTTCACCAGTGTTTCGTCTATAGTTGGTCCCACGACACCTCCAGGAGGCTAGACAGTGATCTCTGGCGTCCCAGAGACACTCCCCTAATGCCAGGTCTCACTGCTCCCCGCACCAACCCAATAACCTCCTTTACCTTACTTACACATGGCTTTCTCAGCCCAAACAGCACCGCCACCTTCAACAAACCCAGGCTCCGTTTATGCGAGCTCCAGGTAGTGACTGTGCCTATACTACCTTTCCTAGCACATTCACCATACTCTATTTCACACGCTACATATCATAACTCCAATATAAGCTAAAGTTAAGGGAGGTAGAAAAGATTAACTCACAGAATCAGCAAACACACTCACCTTGCAGCATGGTCTCAAACAAAAAGGATTCAAATAGGCCACTCCCACACTTATATAACCTTCCTCTTCCTGGATTTTCTCCTGAGAGGACTGATTGGTGGATCTCTCCACCTGCTCTCAAGGAGTTACTTACCCTGCCTGGTAGGTCCCCCTGCTGGCCCCCAGCTGACATTATTCCTCCTCATCCAAATCCACTGACTAGATCTAGCTGCTTCATCTGACATCTAAAAAAAATCTATATCAGTTTAAGTGGATGCTATATTGAGAATATTTCACTTCTTTACTTTTCTGTCCGCCTATTTTGATGAGTAGGCTTTTGAAAGCTTGAGTTCCCCATCTATGCTCTCATCAAAGCCACCAGACTACATTGAGAGAAACGGTCATTTTAGCTTGCTAAACTTGGGAGCTGTTGGATTATTGCTGCTTTGATTAGTTAGTTAGTGTGACTCTGACTTTGGTGAATCCAAACTAACCCTTTTAAATGGCAAAGTCACTCAGTAACACAAACAAGATAACCATTCGAGGCAGAGGTAGACCAGCAGCTCCTGTTTTTAGCAATATTAAATCGTTGTTTTTCTCAATAGAGTCTGGCTTTGATGAGAGCAATATGCAAGCTTCATTGTCACATTGGACATCATGTTCTGACATTGAGGTAAAGCAGTGAGAATATTCTAAATATAGTGTACACTTAATCTGATATTGATTTATTTATTTTTTAGGTGGGCTAACATAGGCTATGTATTGTTGCTGACCCTGTAACAGCAGTAGACTCCAGCCTGCTTCTCCAAACTATTGATGTGCCACTTAAAAACATTAGGAACTATCCCTTTAATGCTACCTTTAGCTTTGTACATATTGTTGATAGTATTTACTATTGGTGTTTGTATACAGATCATTTTGATGATCACCTCAGAATGGCAAGTCTTTTTGCTCTGTCTTATTGTCTTTTCTTACTTCTGCTTCAGACCTTCAAGTTTAAATGTAGGGCCTGGTGTTCCACTGTATCCTGTGACTTGAATCAGAACTTCAGTCCTGAGAAGATGAACAAAAAACCTTGATTTCTAACACAAGTAAACAACTTGATTGACCTTTGATTGATGACAACAGTCAGATGCAGATTTAATCAGTTTTTCTGTCTTGTCAAACTCTGTTTTCAATTAACAGTTTATTTATATCTTTGGCTAAGACATTTGAGAATGACGTATAACCCTGCTTAGGTAGTTAGTATGAATATGAATACATGGTTGAGTATCATGCTAATTCTGTGTGTGATGCAAAAAGCTGCCTTTAAGGTTTCCATGCCCTGAACGAAAAGTCTGCATTGTCATCCTTTGATGGTCCACATAGAAGACATGGAAAGAAAAGCAATCCTAGTTTTATAGTGCAGTATTTTAGTACATTCACATTGTTATAAAGTGCATCCCCTGCTGTTGCTTCGGAGAAGCTGTTTGTACATATAAATATATATGTTACAGTTAAAAAGTGCAGGAAATTTACAGTTCTCTTTCATCATATTAGGCTTTAAGAGGACGATAGCTAGTCTACAGAAAAAGAAATATTTGCAATTCATATATTACTTTTCAAAAATAAAGGTTTAACTGTTCCAACAGTTCAAACAAATATAAGCAATGTGCATTTTTCTGCTAAAAGTTTTTTTCTTTCATTCATTCTTCATTCTTGCAGCAGTCCTCCAGTAGGACAACAGCACCAATGTAGTCCTGACTGATGTTGGTCCCAGCCAATCAGAGCACAGCATAGTTGTAAGCCTCTCCATATCCCGCCTCCCTCAGGTACTTCTCGAAGTCCAGTGGTTCAGGCACTCGGAGAACTGTCCTCCCATTGGCTGATTTCTCTCCGTTCTGCAGAGTTCTAATGAGTTCCGACATGGAGAACCGTTGGTCAGAGCGCCAGTGGCAGCAGCCTCTGATGATGGAGTACCTACAGACCAAGATATGGTAAAACACTGTTAAACAATACAATTTAAATATTAAAACTGAAAATACCACACCATTTGACGCGTGCCAAATTCTTGTTTACAAAGACAGTCTCTCCAAAGAAATAACGGATATGGTCAACATTATCTTTAGTAAATATCACATTGACTTATATAAGGAAAAATCTGAAAAACCCTCATTAACTTGGTTTAGATATGCGTTAAAGAAATATTTTTTTCTCTTTACATACAGTACAGGCCAAAAGTTTGGACACACCTTCTCATTCAATGCATTTTCTTTATTTTCATGACTATTTACATTGTAGATTCTCACTGAAGGCATCAAAACTATGAATGAACACATGTGGAGTTATGTACTTAACAAAAAAAGGTGAAATAACTGAAAACATGTTTTATATTCTAGTTTCTTCAAAATAGCCACCCTTTGCTCTGATTACTGCTTTGCACACTCTTGGCATTCTCTCCATGAGCTTCAAGAGGTAGTCACCTGAAATGGTTTTCCAACAGTCTTGAAGGAGTTCCCAGAGGTGTTTAGCACTTGTTGGCCCCTTTGCCTTCACTCTGCGGTCCAGCTCACCCCAAACCATCTCGATTGGGTTCAGGTCCGGTGACTGTGGAGGCCAGGTCATCTGCCGCAGCACTCCATCACTCTCCTTCTTGGTCAAATAGCCCTTACACAGCCTGGAGGTGTGTTTGGGGTCATTGTCCTGTTGAAAAATAAATGATCGTCCAACTAAACGCAAACCGGATGGGATGGCATGTCGCTGCAGGATGCTGTGGTAGCCATGCTGGTTCAGTGTGCCTTCAATTTTGAATAAATCCCCAACAGTGTCACCAGCAAAACACCCCCACACCATCACACCTCCTCCTCCATGCTTCACAGTGGGAACCAGGCATGTGGAATCCATCCGTTCACCTTTTCTGCGTCTCACAAAGACACGGCGGTTGGAACCAAAGATCTCAAATTTGGACTCATCAGACCAAAGCACAGATTTCCACTGGTCTAATGTCCATTCCTTGTGTTTCTTGGCCCAAACAAATCTCTTCTGCTTGTTGCCTCTCCTTAGCAGTGGTTTCCTAGCAGCTATTTGACCATGAAGGCCTGATTGGCGCAGTCTCCTCTTAACAGTTGTTCTAGAGATGGGTCTGCTGCTAGAACTCTGTGTGGCATTCATCTGGTCTCTGATCTGAGCTGCTGTTAACTTGCGATTTCTGAGGCTGGTGACTCGGATGAACTTATCCTCAGAAGCAGAGGTGACTCTTGGTCTTCCTTTCCTGGGTCGGTCCTCATGTGTGCCAGTTTCGTTGTAGCGCTTGATGGTTTTTGCGACTCCACTTGGGGACACATTTAAAGTTTTTGCAATTTTCCGGACTGACTGACCTTCATTTCTTAAAGTAATGATGGCCACTCGTTTTTCTTTAGTTAGCTGATTGGTTCTTGCCATAATATGAATTTTAACAGTTGTCCAATAGGGCTGTCGGCTGTGTATTAACCTGACTTCTGCACAACACAACTGATGGTCCCAACCCCATTGATAAAGCAAGAAATTCCACTAATTAACCCTGATAAGGCACACCTGTGAAGTGGAAACCATTTCAGGTGACTACCTCTTGAAGCTCATGGAGAGAATGCCAAGAGTGTGCAAAGCAGTAATCAGAGCAAAGGGTGGCTATTTTGAAGAAACTAGAATATAAAACATGTTTTCAGTTATTTCACCTTTTTTTGTTAAGTACATAACTCCACATGTGTTCATTCATAGTTTTGATGCCTTCAGTGAGAATCTACAATGTAAATAGTCATGAAAATAAAGAAAACGCATTGAATGAGAAGGTGTGTCCAAACTTTTGGCCTGTACTGTATATCAAGTGATACCTGTGCAAAAAGACTGTCAAACTATGTCACAATGTCTGGTATTTTGACCAAGATAGACAGTTTGTTGTGCATTATTTTTTCTTTGGGTTGGCTCTGCAACCATATGGTTTTGACCTTAGATTTTGCTTTGAAAACACCTTTATGTATATGGCAAATTCTCTCCACAAAAATAAAGGAAGAAGAGGGATATTGTGAAAATGTCAAGAGCAATTAATAGAACTATGAAATCTGATGCCAGATACTTGTGATAGGGACTTAGATTGGTAAGTAATCAAAAGAATAATAAAAAAATATAATAAAACTATTTTGTCAGTCTAGCCTAGGCAAAGGGTAAGATGTTCCTCCCATCTCCACTACTTCAGAATTGTTTTCAAGGCATTATCAATAGTGGGGAATCATTTTAGCAGCATTGTGTGAGCATTGAGGTGAGGAATCTATATGCTTTAGCACAGGGGTCAGCAACCTGTACTATCAACAGAGCCCTTTTTGGCCCAAAAAGCTCCCAAATAATTTGCCTGGAGCCGCAAAACATATCTGAGCCTTATAATGTAGGTAACAGGAAGTCTAAACTTGTCAATCAATATTACTCATGGGTCTAAATGAGCCTTTATTGAGATGATTTATCACAAGGTGGCTACTTATTCATACGTTATTCATAATTTGCAGGCTTGGCGGTAAAAGCAAACAAATATGTCCACGCACTGTTAAATTCTCTATTGTCCTCCAAGACTTTTTCTTATCTGGAATCCATAGCTAGCTCAGCTTGGGATATCCAAGACAAGCCATCACTACTGAGGCTTGGGAAAAGCAAAAGGCAATATGCAGTATGACGCACATTTAGTTGATGAACCATTTTCTTACTCTGTGAATAGACTACACCTTTTTACAATGGAGAATGTAAGACTCACCCAAGGCCTATGGCAATGAAAAATGAAAATTAAAATGTTAGAAAATAGCCATTATTAATTGCTATATAATGTTTTGATAAAGTCACAGGGAGCCACTGGAGAGGGGTGAAAGAGCGCTGGAGTCACAGGTCGCCGTCCCCTGCTCTAGCACCACATGATTTGTAGCTGAATTAAGACCCTTCCAAACTCATGTTTCCAGTGTGCAAAGTTGGCACTCTACAGCCTTATAAAATCTGTTTCCTAGGGTGCTGAGTAGCTGACCTGATAGAGCAGGCGCCCCATGCACAATGTCCTTGCAGCAGCAGCCACAGCTTCAGGTTCGTCCTTTTGCTGAATGTCTTCCCCCCTCTCTCCCCGTTTCATGCTACCACTGTCCTATCAAATAAAGCCCACATAAAATCTTTTTGAAGAACTGTTTCGTGCTGTTTGTCTTACAGTGAGTTGGAGCAGGTGGCTGGCCGTTTGAGATGCTTTCCTCTTTGAAGATACTGCAGAAGCTCAGTCGCCATGATGTGGGCAAACGGTGGGTCACCTATAAGCAAAGAAGTTTTTGTTTTAAATGAGTTGTATAGTGTCTAGCTGCAGTGATTGATTATATAAACAGCTTCTCTTGGAGGTATATCTGGAATTTCAGAACACCCACCTAATGTGACCATTTCATAGAGCAGGATACCAAAGGACCATCTGTCAAAAGAAGAGTAAAAGAAGGGCATTAAGTCACGAAACAGGAAAGGATTCAGGTCTCAGGTTAAACTAATGTTTATACAGTGCATAGGCACATATTTGCTTAGAAATCCATCCTTTATATCCCCTATAAATGGGCAGTATTTATGTAGGAGGCAGTGGAATCAATATTTACAGGCATTTTCAAACACAGGAATTGTTAATTAATCTTAATTGTGCACCAGAAATGATTAAAACACCTCTGACCCTTTGTTACAAATATTAAAAATGGTGGTGAAGCTTGCTTTTATTACAAACACATTAACATTAACACAATTTGAATAGACCAGTCATTCAACATCCTGTGATTTACTGGGATAAAACCATGTGGGAACATTAAGCTCCCGCTTTGATAACTCTGGCCGGGACATTTCAATGACATGCTTTACCTTCCTTGCATTTCATTTTCTTACAGAGGACATAGACACTCACACATCACAGCTTCGACCACTGGGTCGTCTGCTTAACACTTCAGGTGCCTGCCACTTCCTCATCTCCATGTCCTCTACTTCCCCTGGTGAATGGGCCTGTGTTCTCCTGCGGTAGGCCGAGCCTAATCCCCACAGCTTCGCTGTCAGATCTCCACCAACCAGAACGCTGCGAGCTCCTACGTTGCCATGGATGCACTGCTGACTGTGTAGGTACTCCTAAAAGATGTTCAGACAAAGACAAGGTGATGAGAGATGCTGGAAATTCTGTTTTCTTAGGACCTGGCTGTGAAAAGTAGAGAACTCCAGCAGTATTAGGACACTACAAAAAATGCATACAAATCCTTCTTTCTTCTGCAGATTTCTCATTGTATTTTCTTTTGACTAACAGTACAACAACATATGTGCGTTGAGGTAACTTCTGTTTTCAAATTTAACAATCAAAAGTTTCTTTCAAACTTTATCACGTACTTTCCTAAAAACATATCAGTCCACGTTCCCCATGAACCACTCTTCTCAACAGCTTAGCTTATTTTAAAAGAGAATATGTCACTTTTAAAGCTGGTTGGCCTGTTACTGCAGCTGTTTCATTCAACAGTGGTGAAGACAATAGGAAGCAGGTGCAAGGAGTTGAGCCTTCATTAAAACAAAATTATGACTAGTGTGTTAAATGCATGCAAAATCAATCAGCGCACACAAGGTCAAATGGCCTCCTAAGTTGCTATATGAGCAGTAATGCAGCATTTAAAGGGCTATTTTTGAAATACAGTCCATGTCCAGGTGCTCATACCACATGAAATATAACAAGGCTACATAACATCACTTCTAGCAAGTTTCAAAGAGTGTTTTGTTTTTCCTCTATTATTCTCTGGACTAGTTCATCTTGAAACATAAAAATACGGAATCCATCAACATGTTAGCCGTTCAGTACCAGGCCTGTTTCTAACGGGTAGCCTCCCGACAACTTTATCTTCACTTTACCCGTTTAAGACAAGTAAACTAACCATCAACACCTGCCTCACTCAGGGACTCACAGCTTTGCAGTTTACAGCTGTGTGTGGCTGCAGAGTAAATATAGGCTAAATTGAAATGGATATTTTGCATTATGAAAACATGTTTAGATTTTTCTGGCCTGATGATGGTTCTTGTTGGCCTGGCAGTAGGGGTATCATATCATATTGTTCACGGAAATACTGGTATCATTTTTAGTATGACATGAAAAAATCATACTGTGATACTCACAATATTTTCGATTTGTTGACATATGGACATCTCACTGTTACGCAGGGCAACAACAAGCGTGTCTGAGAACGAAATTATTACAGAGTCTGCAGTGGTTCCAACTGTGACGTCCTGAATGTTTTATGAACAGCCCTGCACTTCTCAGACTCTTTTAGCAACTTACTGCTCAGAGGGAACTCATTCAGCAGCTCCTCTGGCATCAGCACAGCATCCCTCTCTCTCTCTTCTCTGGCCGTGCGCACACATTGGAGTTGGTGTTGTCAAGTGATTTTATCGTAAACTTTTGGTGATGTAAACCTATGTGACACTCGGCTCGACAAAAAAGCTACATATATGTAAATGTGAAATAGTTATTGTAGCATAACAGCCTGTTACAGGTTACAGAGTAATGATTAGAGGAGACATGGCAGTGCATAAAGGTCCAGGTGGAAAAATAACAACAACTCAAAAGGGAACCACCTGTTAATTTATAGAGATCCCAGGGTGCATTTTTGTATTTATGTTGTTGTTCTATTAATATTGTATACAAAATCTGTATCTCTCATTTGTCATATTGTCAAGAATATTGTTAATGCTAAAATACCCTGATATATTGTTAGATGGTTTTATGGCCATATCACCCAGCCATACCCGGCAGCCTGTACAGTTGTGGGGGAAACACTGAATTGGGACATAGGCAGACAGGGAGTTAACAGTAAGACAGAATGAAGTCCCACACATACAGTATTTTGATCCTTGAAGCAGTGACAGAGACTGTCAGACAGAAGGACAGATAGACAGCAGTTTAACCAACCAGAGCAGAGGCCACTTGTCCTGCCATGGTGAAGATCCTCTTCTCTGTCATTTGACACGGAGACTCTGAACCTGCATTATCCTTCAGTGAGAGAGGAGAAGGAAAAACACCAGTTATTGTCAGTCTCCTTATAGTAGCTTTTTGATTCAGACTGCCAGACCTGTCTTTTATGACATGTGATATGGATACTGCTGTCTCTCCCTTTCAGCAGCAGTAAGATATATGGGTCTATACTGCCCCACATAGGCAAAGAGCAGTACTTTAACTACACTGTATTTATAACGCCACAGTCTTTACAGCCTTTGTCACGGTTTAGAGTTAACAGATAGTTTTAATGTTATTTGTCCAGTTAGAAGGTTTTAAAGTGCTTTGTATAATAACTTCTCTTTGTTTTCCTGCCCAGTTTAAACTTTAATAACCATTGTCCATCCTGAAATAAGCTGATTCCTTTACAGATGGCATCAAAAGTCTGAAATATTGCCCTCTGAAATGAGCACATATCCTGCAGTTTGTGATGTAAACCTCACTCTGAATAATCTGTCTCTGTTTAGGTGATTGATAGATGACTGTACCTGTCGACATCTCCACAGGTACCCCAGCAGGTCTCTGTGCTGCAGTTCCTCCACAACCATCATGAGGGGCGGCTGGACTGAAACCACACCGAGCAGCTCAGGTAGGAAGGGGTGCGGCCCCAGCCCCGACACGAAAGAGGCAAAACCCAAAAAGTGCTGCTTCTCACTGTTGTTTGCCGTTTCTGAATAACAGAATGAGTTTTATTACTTTTATTTGTAGTTTTTTAATGTGGAAAATCACTCCATTGATGTTCTAGAGACCGTGGAAGCTCTGATATTAAGCACATCCAAGCACATAAAAAAAGTACAAAACTCTGTTGTCTGTGAACCAGTTGTCAGACCATTGAACAGGAGAGCAAAACTAAACTTTTCCCTGCACTTCTTCAGCAGACATGCAGTAAGCAGTTGGATCTCTTTTAGGTTTCACTTTGTAAATCTCACTTTACCCTTCAGCATCCTCAGGATGACATTCCTGTTGTCCATGCGCGCTCTGTAGAGGCTGACTGTGTCATTGGGCTTAATGGAGAAGGTCAGCGGCAGGGCAGTGATCTGGCTAAAGGAACCATGATGCCTCCCTGTGGACATCTGTGGTACTGCAGCAAGAGTCGGCCTGACATTCTGCTGCACTTGTTGAACTGACATTGGCACCTCTTCATGTTCTAATGGGTTTATACCTGCAGGTGCTATTAAGAGAGACATAGATACAGAACAGTTTAGTAAACTGAGTTACAATAAAAAAATCTAACAAGAATAAGATGGACAGAGAGACTGTTGCATGCTCGCTTACCATCAATACCCTGTAGGTGATGTCTGTGGCCGTGTCTTTGTGTATGTCTGTGCGATGAGCTGTGGTAGGGATGTTGAAGGGATGCAATCCGTGACCGTTTCCGTTGAGGACGGTACCTCATTATGAGCAGGGCCAGTAAGGTGACCAGAGTTGCCAGGAGGAGCAGCGTAGGGACGATAATCACTGCCTGCAGATGCTCTCTTACAACTGAGAGAGAAAGAGAGAAGTTTATGTGTAAATGTCAGGTTCAAGAGGAGACTTTAAGACTTTAAAGTACAAGGTGTTTTGTGTGCCAGCTGGCAAGTTGGTGTAATTAGGAATGTCCTAACCCCTTGTTCCCTCTATCTAAGTTAAGACAGTACTGAGATGCTCAATCGACGCTCAACAATTACTCATTGACTTTAGAAACATTGTGTATTACTGAACTTTTGAAAAACTTTTGAAATAACTTTAGGAACATCATTCAGCTGAGAAACAGGCGCAAGATGAACTACACATGCCACAGCCTTTGGTTTGAGCTTTAAGGGAAGGCCAAAAGCACACCCCTGTAGAGGAAAGGAGTGCGTTGGATTTATAACTTAACCAAAAAACGAGTGTCAATGTGAAATGAAATGCGGCACAATAATAATTTTATCTGAACTATCTTGTTTTTATAATCTTTGGAAGCCTAAATTGAAATAGAAAATAACATTCGATTGTGTGCCCAGCTCAGGGGTCGGCAACCTTAACTATTAAAAGTGCCCTTTTTTGGCCAAAAAAAGGAAACCAAAAATCTGCATGGAGCAACAAAGCATATTTAAGCCTTGTGAGGAGGGTATCTAAAGGCTATGAACCGTTTCATTGCTATTCTGTTGCTAGGGCAACAACTTTGGTCCCTGTTTACTTCCTGTCAGCTTCTGCATTAACATACATTCAAACAGGAAATACAAAGGGACCCATTTAGAATGTTTATGTTGTCCGGTTTGAAACGGTCTATACACTTTTACAATCAGAGAATTATTTATTTCCTTTTTTCAACAAACACAGGGAGCCACTGTAGGGGATAAAGAGCTACATGATGCTCGTACCCCTGGCCCAGCTCAGTGTTCAAATACAGCAGGATGAACACATTGGCTGTTGAAAAGCTTGTACCTCCCAAGTGTTGACAGGTGCGCTGCTTTAAAATTACATCATCCTCTGTTTACAACAGTGTTGTTATGTTGATGTATAGCTAGATGACACTAATTTAAAAGCATGTCAGTATTTGAGTACAACTATAAATACCTTCACACTAACGTCAGGAATCCAGAATTTTAAACGTTGATACAATACTAGTAGAAAAAAATTATACTCAGTGTGTTTTTTGATACCATGGCAAAAGAGAGAAAAAGTGGCTGCAGAGAATGTTGTAACAGCCACTGGTTGAGGACCAGTTGATTTTCTTCTCTCTGGTTTCATCTGTTCAGCCTTAAGTTGAAAATCTGATTTCAGATCTGTTCTTTTTGAATCACTTCTGCATGTTTGATGCTACTGACTATATAATTAACTCAGATCATGCTGTTTTAAACATGTGGAATTGATAAAGTATATAAGTGTCAATACTTCTGACAACAATACCTCACTCTGTAAGACAAGTTTATTAAGTGAGCGGCACAGTCATGCAGCAGTTAGTGCTGTCGCCTCACAGGTTTGAACCCTCTGTGAGTAGTTTGCATGTTCTCCCTGTGTCAGCATGCGTTCTCTCCAGGTTCTCCAGATCCCTCCCACGGTCCAAAGTCATGCAGGTCAGGCTAACTGGTGACTTTAAATGGCCCGTAGATGTAAATGTAAGTGTGAACGTGTGTGACTTGTCTGTCTCTGTAGCCCCGTTTCCACCAAACACTTTCGGTATGGTACCTTTGGAGCCAAAAGTAACACTGCAGACGGGTCCATGTCATTGGTTCGACAGCCCATTAGTCCGACTGTCCGCGGTGCTGAACGGCTCGCGGCGGGCCAACCTGATCTCACAGAAATACGTGAAATGACCACGACCTCTTAACACAGCATTCCGTGGTGGCAGCACGTAATGGGTTGAAATTACGTGCTGCCACCACGAAAACAATGCCAATGTAAAGTCAATTAGG